GGGCGCTTTGCTCTTGGTTTGGTTGCTCGGAAGGTTCCATCCACTTGTTGTCCTGGAACTTGGAAGCTACGTTTAGGTACCGTAGGCAAGGTATCTGGGTTGGCTTTCTATCCGGGAGCAGACTAGGGAGCTTTGAAAGCAGTGATAGCGCGCAACAGTGTTCAGACACTCTGCTAGCTAACAAATCACATCTTATAAGTCCCGTCTTCAGTATTTGTTGGACTGTTTTGGCCGCAGACCCCTGTCTATACTACCTACCTACATGCATACAGCGTCTCTCGGATGCCCGTGTTGATCTACTATCTAGATTTCTAGCCATACCTCCTAGTGACTAGTATCCCTTACTGACAAAGCCGGCTTGTATCCACCGCAATCTGCGTCAGGAACGCATACGGTCTATCAAAACACGCGTCCCATCTCGTCTCCCCCGAACTCCAAAAAGTCCGCAGCACCTTCTTCGCCGTCAGGGGCGCCGACGTGCCAATATCGCGCGCAAGCGCCGGCAGTCGGTCTGCAACAAACTCCCGCGCTGCCGCCCCGCCATCATGCGCGGCTTCGACGCCGAGCACCACGAGCGGCCACAGCGTGAACCTGTTTAGTTTCGGAGATGCCACTGCCCGTTTGAGAAGCATCTGAAGCTGCTGACCGTGAGCGGCGCACTGAGATCGCACTGCCTGCGTCACGGGGAAAAGGGACAGGCTCTGCAGCGACGAGACGCAGTACAGCGCCACGGCGGTCTGGTAGATTTCGCCAATGAGCCGCCAGTCGTCCCTGGACGAAGGCTTGGATGCTGCCCAGTGGGCTGCTGAGTACTTGTGGATGCGGCTCAGGATCTCGCACGCCTCGTGTGCGAAGCTCGCAATCAAGTCGGGTGCGGTGGGCCCGTTGTTGCCCAGTTGGTTCCGGAGGTGGTTGATTCGAGTGATTTCGGCGAATAGCGGTGGTGGACATGCGTGAAAGCAGAAAATGGCCGCACCGTATCTGTGCTGCATGATGTCCAGTGCCTCGAGATGGGCGTCGGTCATGGTGAGGTCCGAGACGGGACATGTCGTGTTTCCAATGACGCCCACACTAGCAAAGCAACTGGTGTTAGTGTCTGTCCTCTGTAGTAATAGATCTTTCTGTCTTGAGCTGGCTGGAGGGGGACTGACAAGCTGAGGCACAGGAGGTAGGGATCAAGGCTTTCAATTCCGGCTACCGTGGAAAACCCGCCGCGAAGCTGTATTAGTCTGGTCGCGCCCTCTAGGTGTGCCCGCCAGCCGAGGGAGGCGCCATATTGTAACTACGGCAGGATTTGACGGGTTAGCACTGCACCTAGTTGGTACTATTCCTAATTTCCATATTCTTCCGGGGGGCGTGCGTACATCGATGAGTAAAAGAGTGATGATGCCGGCAATCGCGAAATCGCTGGTGCAATGGCGTGTAGAGTACAGATGCACTCTGAGGGAACGGAGGGCGTTGCCACGGAATTGATAAAACCTCTCAGCTAGCGCCCCCTGATTCCGCTGTACGTGACTCCCCATCTGGTTCATTCGGTGATTGAGCGCCATACAGATCATACCAAGCTGTAGATATTCCGGGTACGAGGCACCTGCTCGAACAAGAGATGGGGAAATCTGGTAGACGCCAGGGTTGTTCCCCATCTCCAGCATTGGAACAAGGTCCGGGTAGATGCGAGAGTTGACTTCAGTTCAGGTCAGTCCAGGTCTGAGCATTTCACATTCAGTGCACTTGCAGTAATCAGCAGCCTGGGCCAAGGCATGGGCGTCGATGCTCAGGCTCAATTCCCATAGTGGAATGGGCAGGCCCGTGGTTTCGGGTATGCTTGGGGGCAGAGCGCTGCTTTGGGGCAGTGGCGTCCCATTTTCGGCTTGCCTCTTCTCGTCAGATGGAGGTTTGGCCCTTGCCCAAAGTTTGTTGGGACGAGACGTGACCCTCCCGGGCGCCAACCACCTCAACCTGGTCGGCTTAACATTGCCGTAGCCGGGGCAGACGGCCCCTGCGGCAGTGCACCTCTTGCAAGCAGGCTTGGTCGAGTCACAGACAAGACAGCGTCGAAGACACTCCCAGCAGTGGCGCCGCGTCGGGTCCTTTTGTCCTGCAGTGTCAACAGCTCGCGCACGGGAGCTTGGTTGGTCGGCCTTGGCGGGCTCGGCAGAGTTTGGCCTGTTCGACAGCATATCGCGGGACGAGGCCGCGCATATGAAGGCTAAAGTACTAACGTACCGTGTGTGGTACGAATATCGGGCCCAGGTCCGGGAGCAAGTGGAAACTGAGATTGTCTGGTGATTGTGGTGGTACTGCATGTACAATTGCCCAGAGGAATGTTAATTCGGGAGAAAAGCTTCCCAGTAACGTCAGTTCAAGACACGCCCCACAATGCTAAGTTATGGGGCAAAGTAAAGTTAAGCCCCCTGTAAGCTTAGTTGTAAAACCCCTAAACTAGCCCCTGTAGTCTAAGCCAGTCAGGGACTTCCTTCTTCCGGGCCACTAAGGTAACGTTACTGTACGGAGATTTCCACCTTACAACCAATCGACGGCCATACACCAAATCCATCACAAACTGAGCTTACGCGTAATCGGTGCCCGACTGTGACTTTCCAACAAAGGGCTGTGCCGCACAACCTTCATATCCTTTCAAGACAGTACATAGTAAGTACTTACCTGACTTATGAGCAATGTGCTACTTTAAGTTGTAAAGAGTTGACTGAGCAGAGTTGAAGTATTCGGCAGATATCTATGCTAACGCATCAAGGGCTTGCATACAGCCTTTCGGAAGGCATTGGTTCGTGACATCCCTAGGGGATCACCACAAACCGCTTCTTCTTAGCATCTTCAGATTCCCATATTCCGCTGATGTCAGCCAACGAAGCAGTGAAAACACCGTCGGGAATTCCCATCTTAACGACGGCACCTAGCAATCCACCCAACTCCTGCTTCATATCCTGCTTGCTCCAGCTGCCCATGCCAGAACCCGTGATGCGGATCGGCTTGGCATTCAACAATCGCGCCTGCAGCGGAATCACATCCTCTCCTGCAAGATCTCCGAGATGGATGTACTGAATGTCCTTTCCCGGCTCTGCCTTGGCCGCGGCTAGCACTCCGGATGCTGCGCGTCCGCCAACGAAATCCAATACAATGTGTATCGGCCCAATGTCAGGGGGCAGGGCAATTGGGTCCTGGAGCACGACGCGATGGTCCAGTCCCTGAACAGCAGCAAGAGTGTCCTCGTTGCGAGACATGCCGATGATGCGTGAAGCGCCCAGGGATCGCGCCACGTCAACAGCAGCCCGTCCGCTTGTGCTGGTAACGCCCAGGATAAGCACAGTAGCGTTCTTGCAGCTGCCAGGTAGGGCACGGCAGCGCAGGGCCATCCAGCTGCTGCCAACGGGATTAACAAGGGTGGCAACGGCGACAGGGTTGGCGCCGGGTCCGAGCTTGATGATGTTGCTCCGTTCGACGTTCGCGTACTCAGTGAAGAGGGGCGCGGCCATCGGGGCGATGTAGTAGAGTTTACCAGTGGCCTCGTCCATTCCAACTCCGTCGACGCTGGGGTCAAACGGCAAGGCCGCGCCTTGGGCGGTGGGATGCTTGCCAAGCGCCCGTCCACGGACAAGAGGTGGCACGGCAACAGCCATCACTTTGAGCTTGATCTGAGAAGGCGAAGGCGCAGGCAGGTCAACCGAGCAGTACTGAGGTGGCGAACCCCAACTAACAACACGAGCGGCTTTCATGGCGAGGATCGGATGATGGTGGAATGATGAGACCGGTTGGTATGGTCAAACGAAGGTTGAGGATAACTTTGAAGGGCGTGTGGTTTTAGGAAACAGTCTTGTGAGGAGCTTTATCATGGTTCTGCCACCTGGTCTATCAGTGGCTGGGACTGTTGCTTCGTGAACTGGAGGGTAAGGAGAGAATAAGTGCCCACCTAAGGAGTAGGAGACAGGCAGCTGATATACATATACTGTATACTGCCTACTTTCCAACAACTCTGCACTTTCCGTGTTAGGTTTCGGCACCAATACTCTGCTGAGAGATCCTTCAATGTCGGAATCATGTCTTACACCGAGGCCGTGTATCAGAAAGCAAGTCTTGGGCAGGATTTGGTTGACGGGCCTGGTGACGAATCCTGATGCTGCAAAGGGGCCATTACAGGGATTGTAACGCTCTAATTGTATGGACGTCAGCCGATTATAGTATCCCGTTTGATGGTCCTCGCAGCCACGTACGTTCTGAAGCCCGGATATGTTCGGGTATAGCTCGGTCGAGCCCGGATATATCGGTCATCTCCGGCTATACCGGTTGGACCGGGTATCTCGGTGGAACCCGGAGATAGCCCGTTTCTGTGCCGCAGGGCTGCCTCCTCCTCAATGGTTCGGTCCCGGAGTCCTGGACTCCCTACAATGATAGGGGATGGGTCGATTGGGCGCAATGCTGCAGGAGGCACTCCGGGTCTTCTGCGAGCTGACGTGGCTGTTAGTGTATTGTACATCGAGAGGAACCAAGTTTGAGACAGATGTTGCAGTGTTTAGTTGAGAATTGGGGCTTGGGGCTCGCTCGCCTGTAAGATTCACGTTTCCCGTTCCTGCTGTTGCGTGTGCGGCCGGGGGCGTGTACCTGTAGTACTGTACATGTTGCTCGCGCCTTCTCACTGACCCTTTGTGTCCTTGGTTCGATCGTACTACTCCGTAGTGGCCTGAGGTTTCTTGACCAAGCAACGTAAACGATAAACAACAATGCGGAAGTTGTGCTAGCCGAATGTGGCGGTCCCGAAGCCGAAGGCTGTATGCCACATGACAACTCAGTTTTGCTTGTGAGGGACAAACATGCGTAGGTCACCGAATGAGAGAGCGTGTACCTTCGTACTCAGCCTACCTCAAATGTCGCAAACCCGACAAACTTGGAAAGGTCCTTTGAACAGAAATCCGCTCATTGCCTTCCCCCGGCCAGACGACAATTCCTCTCTAAAGCACGTATAAGTACGAAGGTACTCACTACAGTACCGTATTTAGTAGAGGTACCTAAGGTATCTAGGTGCCTAACTTAGTGTTCTTTAAACTGTCTCTCCCAGAACCACTCCTGGGGTAAGAGCACATGTGGAACGCGTTGACAGCAGCTAGGCTTGCTCATCCCAACTGACTCCTATCACGATACCACCTTCCTGCTCCTCTACCATGAGTCATCAGATGCAGCTTTATACCTACAGCCCGCTTCCATCCAAGACCTGCATCCGGGTTCTTCGTCGCTTACCGAATACCCAACACGGTGCACTTGAATTCGAGTTCAAAATTATCGATCTCCGAGACCTGCCCCAGCACCCTGAGCGCAATGATGGGTCCAAGTGCATCCCAACTGACCAGAGATACCACTGTCTATCCTACACGGGGGGTAACCCACTCTCGGATCATGGAATCTCTCCCGAAGCGTTTACGCAAGCAGAGGAATTTTACTCGAACAAGAATTTGCGTGACATTCTGTGCGAGGGCAAGATCCTCAAGGTCCAACCAAATCTCTATGAAGCCTTGCTCACGCTATCTTCACATTCACACTTTGTCGACGGGGACGATAACGAGCGAAATAACGAACGGGACCCAATTGTTGACCAATATCGGCTCTTCTTGTTCGCCATGTCGGGCGAGAGCAAGCCGATTTTGGAGCTACTGCGTCGCGGAGCGAATCCCAATGCCATAGACTACACTGGGCAAACGCCAACCCATCATGCTGCCCGCCATGGACACTACGACAGCGTTCGAGTTCTCCTCAAAATGGGGGCAATGACAAACATCCGTGACGATAACCATCACACGCCCCATGATCTAGCAGTTATGGCAGGTCATTACGAAGTGGCCAACCTCTTGGCGAGCTATAACACGGATGGTGCGGCAACACCTCGTCTGGTGAACGCCACCCACTCAAGAATCCCGGGCGACCCTCTGGACGGTATCTGGGTGGACGCTATTTGCATCAACCAAGAAGACTTGGATGAGAGACAGCACCAAGTCCAGTTAATGGACTGGATCTACTCTACCGCTAACTACACGGTGGTATGGTTAGGGCCAAGTGATGAATGGACTGACTTGGCTGTCTCGGCTCTCTCCAAAGTCGGAACCGTTTTTAGCGAGTTCGGCAGCAATAGCCTTGACCCTTTCCATCTCAGGCTGCGCCGGACAGAGTCAGAGGTATTTCCAGACCTTTCCGAACGAGAGTGGGAGTCACTAGCCGCATTCTACGGTCGTCGTTGGTTCTCACGCATATGGGTCATCCAAGAGGTTGCCCTGAGTGACAAAATATTCATGCTCTGCGGCCAGAGGGCCGTTGACTGGGATCACGTCAGGAGTGCGAGCATAGCTATCTTGGCGTACAAAGTGGTCTGCATGGACAATGTCTGTTCCAAACACCTGTCCAGGAAACCTGGTTTCAATTCCGCGGTTGTACTCGCCTGGCTGCAGGACGAGCACACACGACTTCGTTCCCTGCGGCCTGCGGATCGTCCTCCAACCACAACGCGGATATTTTCATTGCCCGTTCTCGCCAGCTTTACCTGGGTATTCCAGGCGTCGGACCCAAGGGACAAATGCTATGCTCTGCTACCGCTCTCAAGGCTTCACTATGGGACGCAGGTTCCTCTAATCCCAGACTATAGGAAATCGGCTGAGGAAACTTGCATTGAGTTTGCCTCACAGATCCTCAAAGAGACCAAGGACCTCGGAACCGTACTGCCAGCTAAATTCCAAACTACCTTGACGCCATATTTGCTCCCGTCTTGGGTCGCCTGGTTCGACCACAATCGCGTTGGTAGCTGCCTTTGTCCAGACTTCAACGCCGCTGCAGGCATCCCGCCGGCAATTCGCCACATCGGGAACGAGCTGCACGTCCAGGGCATTGAGATTGGCACAATCACTCATCTCGCTAACATATATGGCGAGATAGATCCTAACCTGCTCAAAGCTCTCCTCCCGCTGAAACCCTATTACAGTTACCATGGGACCGGCCAGAATCTATCTGAGGCCCTTTGGCGAACCCTATGTCAAAATGTGGACTCGCGTAACTGTGAAGGAATGGTCCAGGCGATGTATACGCTGCCGCTATACGAAATGCCATACCAGGCAGATGTTGTCCGGGCTCCAGCCGACTTTGGGCCAATGTTCAAGCTCCGTCTCATGACCGCCATTTGCCTTGCACTCGAGCGACACGTGGATTCCGGATCACAAAAGCTCGAAGATCTACCACTAGGCCCACTCGCGGATGTGTTTCTATCGTTAGACACCCTCCATGAAGGCAGCGTGGGCGATCCTCTGCCAACCTCGGAGGATGTTGTGGAATACTTCCACAGCGATGCCTTCCAGGCTCCCGAGGACAAGTTCTGGCCTGACCTTAAGACAAAGATCTGGCCGTACCAGCTGACATCATGCTTCGTTAGACCTCACAGCGGACAGCGATTCTTTTCGACGTCTGAAGGTTACATCGGGACGGCTTCAGATACCGTCAACATCGGGGACACGGTCTGGGTAGTTGGTGGTTCTAACATGCCTCTGATTCTTCGACGTCAGGGCCAACCGGATCCACTCACTGCTGTTGAAGAGACGGACAGTGGTGATGCTGTGGATGGGTTCAAGTTCAACTTTGTCAGCGATGCATATGTACATGGCGTTATGGAAGGTGAAGTCGTAGCAGAGATGGAGGCTGGGAAACGTCAGATTCAGAATCTGATACTGGTTTAATGGCTTCACTAGAAGCTCAAGGCGGTCCCTATGACGCAACAGCTTTACAAGTCATAGTGGTAGAACAGTAGAAGAAACTTCATGATTCGAAGTAGGGCAGTTCTTGGTAGAAACACAAGCTACCGCTTTAGTTCCCGCGGGTTGCGAGCCATAGAGGCAATAACTTTGGGCTGACGGTCGTTATGCGTCTCGATGAACAGTAACCGGGTTTTGCCTCTCGTTCAAGCCGGGTACCTGGTAGGCTCGACGTGAGTCTCAGTTGTGATTGTCAGTCAATATGTGGGAAATTGCCTCGACTCAGAGAAGCCTAGGCCGTTCAGCCCAGTACCCTGGCATCCAATCGACAGCTGCATGTAATCTATCACGAGAACCAGACTCATACGCCCTGAATCTCCCACAGCTCAAACTTTACCAGCTTACTAGTAGCTAGTACCAGACCGGCCCGGAGCTTGAAATGATCTCCTGTCCCTCCGTTCACTTCTTACTAGTTACGGGTAGCAGGCCAAGCAGTCGAGAGAGACTCTCTTATCTCTTACTCTGTGTTAGTTACCTATCTTTAGATCAGCTCGTGTATTCTTTGATCCTGTTACGAGACTGCTTCTACCAACATCTTTTCCGTTCTTGAGGGAGTGACCCGGGTAAATCTAGTAGCTGCAGTGGTCCCGTGCGGATAAAAGGGGTGCTCTATCATACTCGTCAAGCCAAGCTCGATACCACAGTTTCGGCACGGGCACAGTTCACTAGTTTGTAGCAGCTTCCTGGTTGGCAGTGAGTAGAAGATTCGGTGCCGAACATGGGCGGCATGCTAAGGGGTCGGTAGTGGCACTGACAGCTGCATGTCAGCCACTCTACTTGAACCACGACCTGAGAAATTCTCACCTTCCCAATTCTAGCTGTGAGATTGCTACTCTGCGTTACAGTATAAGTGCCGCTTAATATAGTTGCCGTGTCTCCCGCCGAACCTCTACATAAGCGAGCACCTTGAAACGCAACCCACAGTAGCCCATCCATTGATGTCTACCGGTGGGAAGAACACTAGTGGTTACTAGCTGAGTAGTAGTACATACCTGTTCTAGGAAGAGATCGGCTTCCAGCGCCACAGCTGAGCCAACACGGGCAGACTGTCGGAGGCGGAGAGTACCTACATACAGCAGCACGTTGGCCTCCGTGTGGAAACCTCCGTATTCCCGGCTCCAAAAATAGATCTTCGCATGGCCAGCCGTACTAGTGCCCGTAACATATCCCGATTCTCGGGTCTGTCATGGCAGTGAGTGTCATCCTTCGCCGGCTCCGCGGTACGTTGAGCCACCGAGTTACGGTCAAGTCCACGGCAAGTTGAGCTCGAGCCGCACCAATTGTGAATCAGTCTTGAGCTGATAACTCGTTGATCTAGGTCGAACTCCGTCTGATAGCCTGGGGAATCAAAGGCCAGGTGAGCTTTCCATGCATGTGTAGAACATAATGTACACTTGCCTACCCATCTCCTAGGACGAGCTCCGTGGCGGTAAATAGGGGACAAAGGCAAGGTAAGCACAGATTCAGGCACAGCAAACTCAAGAAAAGCTCCCGCTGAGACTACCACCTATATACTCAAGAAACCCAACTTGGTCCAGAGCTCAAAAGACGTTCAGACTTCAGAGCCCCTGAAAAGCATGCGGCAAGTTTCTTAACTGTTCTAATCGGGCCGTGAAGCCGCCCGGCGTCTGCCAAGTAGATACTAAACTCCTAGTACCGTGCAGGAGGAGGCTGACGGCAAGGTGTAGAATCCGAGCCTGGGCCGCATGCCCCCTGTCCAACATCCCGTCCTGCGTCCACCACGCCTGCGGTTATCGGAGCATGTTGCATGGCGATGTCCACACTTTTACTGAGAAAGGAGTTAGGCCGAGGGATGGGATCGGGGGATAGATACCTGCCTAGTAATGCCGGTAGTGGCGGTCTTCTGGAAATATGGCCGAGCAGGGCGTTCAGCCCATCTTCCCTGCGTATATAAGCATGAAGTTACTCTACGTGGAATCCTAGACCATCTTAGAAGCGAACCTTTTGTCACATGTGCTTCGTGTTTTCCATCACTACTACCAGTAGTACTAGTATGGTCTGCTTTCAGTATCAGCTCACAGCAGCCTGCTTTGCTGTGTTAGCGGTCCTAACCACTCAGGCTTTCTGCTCTCCTGTCCAGCCGAGTCCCGTTCATGATCTCTTACCAAGGCAAACAATAATCCCCGGCGGCAAGCCATGTGGTCAGAACAATGCCACGAATAGGGGTTGCTGGAAAAACAACTGGAACATCACCACCGACTATGAAGTCGACACGCCCCCTGCGTTCAACACCAGAGTGGTATGTCCTTGCTCCCAATAAGAGGCTAGCCTCAAAGATTAGGTCAGAGACTGAGAGGAGCCCAGTATGACCTCCACATCACCAATGTAACGAACTGGCTCGGCCCTGACGGGGTTCGGAAGCCTGCCATGCTTATAAACGGTGTGTTACCAAAGTCAACAAGATTCTCCAAGCTCACTTCTGACAAGAAGGCAGGCTCATTTCCTGGTCCTACAATCTCAGCCGACTGGGGCGACTACATTATTGTTAATGTCCACAACGACATGCAAGACAATGGGTGAGCAGTGCACCACGGTAACGTGTACATAAGTACTATCTGTGACCCTTCTCGCTAACACGCAAGCAGAACGTCAATCCATTGGCATGGAATCCGTCAGCTTGGCGAGAGCAACCAGGACGGCGCAAACGGCGTGACCGAATGCCCCATTCCTCCCGGATCCAGCAAAACCTACGACTTCCACGTGACGCAGTACGGCACCTCATGGTACCACAGCCACTACTCCAACCAGTACGGCAATGGGGTCGTCGGTGCCCTGATCGTGCGCGGCCCGGCATCAGCCAACTACGACATCGACCTCGGTCCCTACCTGATCAGCGACTACTACTACGAAACCGCCGACCGCCTCCATCTCCGAGCCGAGCTGGTCAGCAACGGGCCGCCGCCAGACAGCGACAACATCCTGTTCCGCGGCAAAAACATCAACCCAAAACGTCCCGGCAGCGGCTCCTACGACCGCCTCGTCCTGACCCCCGGCAAGAAACATCTGATCCGGCTGATCAACGCCAGCGTGGACAACTCCTTCGTCATCTCCCTCGTCGGCCACAACTTCACCGTCATCTCCACCGACATGGTTCCCATCACCCCTGTCGTGCGCAGCTCCTTATTCATGGGCGTTGGCCAGCGGTACGATGTCATTGTCGAAGCTAACCAGCCCGTGGGCAACTACTGGCTCAACGCGACGCTCGAGGCCCAGAACAACTGCGGGCATTCGGTCAACCCCTTCCCGGCGGCTATTGTCCAGTACGCGGGCGCCAGCTCCACCGCCCTGCCGACAAACCGCGGGACGCCCCTGACGGCGACATGCAATGGCGAGAAAGGGTTTTCGCCCATTGTTAAGCGGACAGTTTCAAGTTCCCTGTTCCAGCCGTCTACCCTGCCAGTCAGCCTTGAATTCCCCACTACAGACCGCGGGCAGGTATTTGAGTGGCGGGTTAAGAACACGCCTATCAGCGTGGAATGGGAACACCCCGTGCTGGAGTACGTTTTTCAGGGCAACACCTCCTTCCCGGCGAAGGCCAATCTCATTGAAGTCCCGCAGGCAAATGTCTGGACGTTCTGGGTGATTCAGAATGGATTCGGGCTGCCGCACCCGATTCACCTGCACGGCCATGATTTCCTGGTGCTTGGGGTTGGTAACGGGACTTTTGACCCGACCTCTATGAGGGGCTTGTTGAATTTCAATAATCCTGTCCGTAGGGATGTCGAGCAGATGCCTGGCAATGGGTGGCTGGTGATTGCGTTCAAGACGGATAACCCGGGCTGTTGGTTGATGCACTGCCATATTGGTTGGCATGTGGCGATGGGGCTGGGGATACAGTTTCTTGAGAGGAGGAGCGATATCCTCGCGCTCATGAAGCTGGATCAGATGGTGCCCAATTGTGAGGCTTGGAGGGCCTATGCAAGGACGAGTCCATATCTGCCAAAGCTTGATTCGGGGCTGAAAAGGGGGGTGGAGATGAGGGAGGGGATGGAGCCGGCTGTGAGGCGGATTGGTTAGATTGAGGTATCGTACTCAACTTGCTTCCAAGCTGGCTATGGCTATGAGTGGTTCAGGAAGAAGAGGGAATCTCACTATTCTTGCAGCATGCCCAACTACGATAAAAAAGAACTGAAAAAGAACTCACCCATTGTGCGGTTGAACGACAAGAGGGGCCGCCTGGCCGCCAAAGTGACATCATTAATATCTTCACCAGCTGAGTACAGGGCCTGCATTCGAATTCTCAGACGCCGGTGATAATGACCATTGTGGATGGCTTTTGCTCTGACCAGGAACGAATGGAAGAGGTTCGCAAGAGTCAAGACTCGGTATGGTTAGGGTCATATCACCAATGGCGTCATCCCGCCAAGGCTTAAGGCAGCCACAACCATAAGGTACTCTCCTCTCTTGCCTTAGAGCACCTTCTTGACTTAGGACATGGACTGCCTAGTGTCGGTAGACATCATTGCCAGTGAGCTTGTTTGCTATCAAGCAGCATAGGTAAGCAAGAGATATACTTAATGAATATGGCATTTTCTTGGGAATATTCATTATTTCAGAACATGGCCGTCAAACTCACACAGGAGTTCAACGCGGAGTGGTGACGACAGTGCCTCACGTCCTGGTTGCTGGAGGGATCGTCAGGGGTAAAACAAGGGTTAGGGTTCAAGCCTGCCCCTATTCCCTCGTCGACTCCCGAAGGAGGCAAGGATCCACAATATTCCATCATCGTATCCACTACATCACCGACATCATCAGTGTCATCACATCGGTGTATATCAGCCCGGGTACGGTGTGCTGAACTTCACCGCAAGATGGCCTCGCTCCAGTCTGCATTCCATCTTTCTCATCCTCCCTGACCACTACCATAGATTTTATGCGATCAACAGCAAGATGACACAAGGCCACCAAGTCATGATGCATTCACCATCTACAACAAGCACCCCGACAATACGCACACGATTCCTCATCATCTCAGACACACATGGCTATCGATTCCTCCCCGACACAAGGCCCCTACAACCCATCGACGTGGTCATCCACTGCGGCGACCTGACGGAAAACTCCCAACTATCCGAATTCGAAACCACCCTCCAACTCCTTCGCGATATCGATGCCCCCTTAAAGCTAGTAATCCCTGGCAACCACGAATTCACCCTCGACACCCCCACATTCCAACAAATGTGCCACAAATCCCGGCGACGCTGCAACCGCGAGCTACTGCAGCATTACTACGGCAGTCCCGGGGAAGCAAAGGCACTTTTCACCGAAGCCGCCAAGAGGCACGGCATCACCTATCTAGAAGAAGGGACGCACCGCTTCTCCTTACCCAACGGCGCATCCCTGACGGTTTATGCCAGCCCCTACACGCCAGCCTTTGGCAGCCCCGGGTTTCAGTACAATCCCAAACTCGAAGGCCACGATTTTGCGATTCCTCAGGGTGTCGATGTTGCCATCACGCACGGTCCGCCACGGGGAGTCCTGGACCGCAGCTGGGTCACGGGCGAGAATGTCGGGTCGGTAGAGTTGTTTGCTGCGATTGCGCGGGCAAGACCGAGGTTGCATTGCTTTGGGCATATTCATGAGGGTTGGGGAGCGGAGGTGGTGACGTGGGGCGATGTTCCGGTTCCGGAGGATGCGGGCTCGCATCATGGAACCAGTACCAGCAATAGTGGGGAGCAGAGCAGTACTACTACCAGCGCAACGGGGAGGAGTACTACTACTACAGAGGGGAGGAGGAGGAGTAGTACCAGCAGCAGTTGGACACTGCTGGCCGATCTAGGGTCGCTCCTCCCGCTCAAGGGGGACACGATGGACTTGGTTAGGGAAAAGGAGCGCAAGCTGGCCGAGTATGCGCGTGGAAAGTGCGTCAAGACAAGTCATTGCGCCGGGGATGTCCTGCCGCTGAGCGAGCAGGGCGCCCGCACCCTATTTGTCAATGCGGCTGTGCTCGGAACGCCGATGCGCCCCCCGTGGGTGGTGGATATGGAACTTCCTAGGGCGTGACATGTTGTAAGTAGAGAGGAAATAAATAGGGGTAAACAGGAGACGCGATGGAATAAACCTTGGGAAAAGTTGATTGAACTTCGAGTCCCGGTGTCTCAAGTGAGCTAATTGCTAATTTTCCGTGCCATGTGTTGAGCTCACAGTCGGATGGCGATCCGGGGCAATGGTTCTCTCAAACGGTCTGTATATCTGGGCTTTCTTATTCCTGCTGCACGACCTTGGTCGTGTGTCAAATAATTGAAAACTTGTGAGCGAACACTTTCGACACCAAGCTCCGTGTGCCAACGAGTGTTGCCGGGCGCTCCAGCCAGCACTTCCTTGGGCTCCAGAAAGAGCTGAGGTCAGGGGGGTGAGCAAAGGGGCAACGGATAGGCAGATTGGAATCATTTAACCACCGCGTGTAACCAAGTGAACTGTAAACTAAACAAGCACAATGCTTCGCTTGCAAGTAGCGGATAGCTAAGGTACCTTACCTTACCTTAGTGATATCAATTAGTAGTTCAACTTCACTGCTAAGGATCAGCCGAGTCAGCCCTCGACGGCATCCAGTCGGTCACTCAAGGTACATACTCAGTAGTACTGTGTAAGTCGTGCGATAGTCTGCTCCCTTTGTTGGTTTCACCCACTTTGATCAAAGCCTTGTGGCAAGCTCGGCGTAAGCCACGTTTTGAGATTCTGTGCAAGGGCGCACTTTGCAGGGTTCTAAGTGGTGGATGGTGTCGCTATCCTGGCCGCTGGATCACCGGCCCGGTCCATTTTGAGACAACAAAGCGCTTAGACCCTTTGTCAAAAATGACGACGGCAAGACGTCTCAAACTTCAACCATGCTCGGATCTTTCAGAATGTCTACTCAGCTCGATCATTCTGGTAGACAACCTTCTGACGCCGACGACGGTTAGGGATGTACTTAAATTGCGGTGAACCTCGACACAAAGCTTTCAGTCTCAGGAGTCACGAAGACAACATCCAAATTATTCCCATCCAAGCACCGATTCCTCGCTCTATTGCCGCAAAGCAACATTGAACATAACGAAGATGCGGGCTGTCGTCTTGCTCACCACTATCTTCATGGCGCTGGCCGCCGCTGCCCCTGAAAAGACAATGGAGAAATTGAGGGAGCGTGAGCTCTGTGTAAGTGCTCCCAACCTAACGAGGCTATGACTTAGGGATTACCGTCCGTTCCAACTGAAATCTTTCTGACCACATGGATGCTTAGTTCTGCGACGAGAGGAGCTGCGATGGGCCTCCTTGCTGCGCAAATGGAACCTGCTAAAGGTTGCCTTCCCGACTCCAACCATCAATACCCCACTGCGGAGAGTCATGAGGCATTACACGATTATTACGAATAAGTCGAAATGTCGGACTTTTCCACATGAAGTTCACTGTACTGTTGTATTATAGGCGCTTGAAAGAAGATTTGGAAAGGGACTTTGCCGTGATCACGGATTATATGCTGCTAGGGAGGGCTTGTATATCCTAATTTGGGGTCCTCTTTGTTTCTTAGAGCTACATTCGATACTAGCGTCCTGTCTGTAGGAGTGATAATTGGCTACCTCAGTACATGTGATACATCGAGCGGCGCGGGCATTTTATGCCAGCCACCCGTGAGCAGTTGATGCACAGATTCAAGCTTCTCTCCTGTTATCAAATGGTCAAGTCCAAACGAGCTAGCTGAAATACCAACTACCTAGCGTCCAAGGATGTCTGCTGGAAAGGTTGCGTAGTAGTAGTCCAGGTAGGTAGTCTAGCTACAAACTGAGTTTCTAATCTTAGGTAGTCGAGGCTGTGCCGTTCTTTATGGGCTTTACTTAGATACTATGTGTTAAAGTAAAGACAGCTACCTTACCCAACGGCACTCCTTACCAAATGAAACTTCTTGTAGTAGATCCTGGATATATGGACACTTTCCCTAGATGCCCTCTTATTCAAGTTGACGTTGTCCTACGGTGAAGCGAAGACACATCAGTCCAACGACTCCTACAAGCAGCAGTTACAACTACGTATACGTAAATTATTTTGCTTCACTCTACAGATTCCGTCAAGTGTAATTCAAGGTCGATACTATTAAGATGACGAGTGAAAGTTGATTTGGACGGCAAAGCCCCTCTTTACTCTCTGCCCGGGTTGACAAAAGAGCTGGCACAAAGAGCAACACCACAAAGACACGGGTTGAGACGGCGAGGTCGACGAGTACGATGACTCGGCCAGATCACTTCAAGTTGCCACTTAGCAATTGCACTGAGATGCCTACTTGGATATTTAAACTGCTGTTTCTCTACTCGGGTGGGTTCCATCAACTTGAAATCGCTGTATCATCCAGTTCCAGTCATCAGCGCAGCATCTTAGGAACACTCAGCTGCACTTACACTTCTCCAAGGAATATTGCCACCACCAAAGGACAAAGCCATGACTCGCTGCAAGCATTGTGATACCGAGGTCAGAAACTCCTCGCAGTATCATTGCGGCTTCTGCTCAAAACCCTGGCGGGACACCTGCTTGGCGTCCACCTGCAAGTGCCACCAACCGAAGTGCCGTTGCTGTGGCTTGACAAAGGAGAACCCCTCTCAGTATAAGTGCACTAGCTGTCATACAGCCTTTGTGTCCGGTAGCTAGGTGCACTGGATGGGATCGGGTCGGTGATGATTGCTAGGGCTCCTTGGTTCTTATACATTACCTACCTTAAGGTTCTGCGGGTGTTGGTCGCTCAGGGGTTTTCAGATTTGTGTTACTAGCGATGCTTTTCGGTCCTGGATTGGGAGCAGGAATGCTGTGGTTCTAGTTTCGGATTTACTGGCGATAAGGTATACCAGTACCAAGGGGATAGGAGTGCTACTAATTTGGCAATGGATAGCCTGGCAATGGAATAATGTCCTGGGAGACCAGATGCATTTGCTGCTTCAAATGCATGTATAGTGCTCTCTTGTTTTCTGAAAAGTGAGCCAAGACTTCTCTAACTGGGCTTCTCAGTCGAAGACTCGAATTCTACCATGACTCTCTGACAGACTGTTCTTGAGCTAGATCTCTGTCAGCGTCTTTGGTCAGGGCAGCCTGCTTCCACTTCTCCCATCAAGCCCCTGACATAGGCTCAAGGCATATCAACATGAAGTCAACACTTAGACAACCGGGCAAGCACCAATGATTCGCAGCTGTTGGGAGATCCGACATAAGCTACAATACCAAATTTCATCGCCCACTGCACCTATTGCCACAATACCTAAGGTACTTTTAGTACTGTCATTCTACATGTAGGTGAACATGTATATGACTCCTGACACTCGCTAGTTAACACTTATAACCCATTTAGGACCCACGGCCTGTAAGCCCCAGTCTGACACTCAATATGGTAGTATTGTTCTCAAACTACTGCATGCGGAAACAAACTTGCTCTTACCTGCTCGCTTCACAGTAACAACACGTCCTAACCCCCGAGCCAAGCCGGAACAGGACGAGGTTTGGTGGTCTCATTTGCTGGTGATTGTCGCCTCGGATTTGAGGTCGGAACCGTGCAGTGGCACGCCCTGGATTCCGTAATGTCTACCTTACCCCTGCCTCATCACAAGATGTCTCTTACAATTGACGGGTTAATTTGAGTGCGTCTTGGCTGCAGCTTCATGTCTGCATTCTGGCTCGCTAGACTGGCAGCGTTGCACCTATGGTCCAGCGCCTACTCGAGTTTTGAGTTGCTCGCGACCATTGAGACCAGATTAGATCCGGAGTGTATTCAGTGAGCCAGCACCATGTGCTGGGTATAAATTGACGACTAGAACCCGGTGGTGGTCCGTACTGAGGCATTGGAATCTCAACTGCACTTCAGAGAACACTTCAAGTTCTGCTCTTGTCGGTTTGCCAGCGTATCCGAGCTAAACAGGCCAGGTCGTGACTCTACCTCACTCGCTCATCATGAAGATCCAACCGGATATTCTAGCTTCGGCACTGCTGGTCGCTTCATCCCAACTAGCTTGGGCTCAGGCTTCATGCTCGCCTACTCCGACCTACACCTTTACACCAGAGCAGCTGCGGAATGCCAACCGTACATTGTCCATTGGCTATGTGAGTGAGTCCCTTGCCTGCTTGTGTCAATATAAACACAGGATAGGAATATGAAATGTTGACGCGGACCGATAGGTGGTCTACCCTGGATACGCGATCTTGGACGTCTTCGGGCCTTTGCAGTTCCTGGAGGGGGTAGGTCTCCAAGCTTCCGAACCATGTGCCAAAACCACTTCTACCTCCATGTTACTAACCAGACGTTACCTACCTAAGCTCTCTTGGCCGTTCAGCATCAACCTCTCGATAATCGCGAAGACGGCCGGCCCAGTGGGCAGCCGGCCCCCGCCCCATCACACCCCGGATGGATCCATCATGGACATGTCTCGCATGATCGACGTCCAGCTCATCGCCACGCACGACTTCCAGACGGCCCCGCCGCTGGATATCCTCATCATGCCGGGAGGTGTAGGCGATCTGCATCTGGTAGAGCAAAACGACACGGCCATCGAGGACTTCATCGCCTCCCGTTTCAACACGACCGAGTACGTTCTCTCGGTCTGCTCCGGGGCAGGCTTTCTCGCGCGCGCTGGCGTCCTGGAGGGTCGGCGTGCGACAGGCACCAAGGCGGTCTGGGACTTCGTCACACAGTTTGGCACCAACATCACATGGGTTCCGAGCGCGCGTTGGGTGGAAGACGGAAAGGTATGGACTAGTTCGGGCGTCACGGCGGGCATGGACATGATGGTTGCCTTTGTGAGGCATCTATACGGCGATCCGCGGGTCAACAACTTCGTGAATAACCTTGAGTACTTGGCTCACGTTGATCCGCGCTGGGATCCGTTCTCCGTCCTTCACAAGGTGAGTTGCTATACTACCGGAGAGTAGTAATCGTGGGACGATTCATGCTAACAGGTGCTTTTGCTATAGGTTCCTGGAGCGAATATGAGTATCCCCCTTACCAGCACTGTTAGCCCACTACAGCCATACCCTGAAGAGGCTTGACAGCAACTGTGTCGTTCGTATCTAGGCGAAGAAGGTGTCAGAAATCAGGAGAAGTCAATGGGTATATAGGGTACTTGTATTGTACCTACTAGTAGTTTCAGAGCCCGTCCAACGTGACTCGGAGCCCGCACCTGTGTTAGGTAGAAGCAGGCCGTCCGCGGTGTATCTGACAGTCTGTTAGTAATCGGGCACTGCAGACTTGCAGGACTACCATAGCCACACTTGTGTAATCCAAACTGGCTCAGGATTGGCGAATCTCGTTTGAGGGGTAGATAAGGCAGCATCACCGGCTGTAAGCGGCTGACCTCGCGCGGCATCCCGCTTTTCATCCAGATCCTTTCGTGGAGGCTGTCTTCACACTTGAACACCGGCGCCACTCGCGGCACAGTGAGACTCGATCCTAGCCTTCCGTGCTAGACACTTCCGTCATATTGTCGTCAAGTATATATCGTTTTGTTCATGGTTCTTTGCGCTATCAGACGGCCATGGATCCCATCAGCGCTGTCAGCTTTGCCGCGAGCATTGTTACCTTCATTGATCTCGCATCCAAAGTTGTCTCGGGAGCATTCGAGGTTCTCAGCTCCGGCCAGGTTTTGGAGAACGCCCACGTTGCCGCCGTAGTTGACGACTTAACCACCGCCACCAAACAGTTTGCAAACCCCCCCGGCGGCTTATTCGAAGCATGCAGAGGCTTTGGCGGCTCTGGCTGTGGAATGCCAAAATATCGCCGAGGATCTCCGGAAGCTCCTGAAGACGTTGAAGCTCAAAGCCGGTAGCTCCACATGGAAGAGTATCAAGACCGTTCTCTTGTCCATGAGAAGAAGCGGAGAAGTCGCGCATTTGGAAGACAGGCTTGGGAAATGCCGGTCACAGATCCTTTTCCGTTTGGTTCTCCTGCTCAAGTAAGCCCCAGAACTATCTTTATAGTAGTAGCCTTGCGTACCTGATGTCGGCATTGACAATCCCTCTCCTTCTCAAGCGAGAATCAGCTAGCTATTCAGGTGCAGCTCAACAATTCACAATCCCAATCTCAAAAGGAGGCATCAGATATTGTTCGGCAACTCACTCACCTCCGGGATGATAATCTGAGAACACTAAATCAAACTCTGGGAACCCTGAATGAGGCCATTCATCGCGGAGAGGATTCCGCGTCGGCCATGTTCAGCGAGCACCTGCAACTCCTCAGAGACGTTCAGATCTCGCTCAACAGCTTGCTCACCGCATCATCTGCCCCTTCCCCTGAAGTTAGGATCATGAGGCAGCTCTACTTCAACAGCATGTACTTCCGTGAGGACATGGTTACAAAGGCCCATAGCACCACCTACAAAGGGATTCTGAGCGAGGAAGACCTTAGGAATGGTGTAAGCAACGACTGCTGTAGCGATTATGACGTGGGTGAGGTTAAAACGTACAGAGAACTTGAGCAAGCGACCAGGCAGGCTCGACTGCACGCGTGGACGTCTCTCGTTTCTTGGTTGCGTGATGGTGAAGGCATCTTTCATATCTCAGGGAAGGCCGGGTCCGGCAAGTCGACGCTGATTAAATTTCTACTTGATCACGATCAGACCAGGAAAGAGCTGGAGCGATGTCCGAATAACGATCAACTGCTGCTTGCTCGCTTTTTCTTTTGGAGGGCCGGAGGCAAGTTACAAAGATCGCTAGAAGGGCTTTATCGGGCCATTCTCTTCGAGATACTGACGCAGATCCCGCACTTGGTTCGAGATGTTTTCCCCGACGCATACAACGCCTTCTCAGACAGCGGGTCGGGAGTCGTCATTGACGAGCCTTACTTCCGTCCCAGGCACTTGGAGAAGGGCATGGAAAGGCTGATCTCCAAATCGCCGTACCCGGGATACCGCATCTGCCTGGTCATTGACGGCCTCGACGAGTACGGGGAGGACGGTAACGACAGCCTCCAGCATGAACTTCTTGTTGAGCAACTTCTTGCTTGGGTAGCCAGGGGCGGCATCAAGATCCTAGTCAGCTCCCGTCCGCATCGTGAGTTTGAGCAAGCCTACTCAGACGAACGCCGGATCAGGCTTCATACACTTACTCAGCTTGACATCTTCCTCTTTGCACGCGACATGTTTCGAACAGACAGGAACTTTGCCAACGTCCGGGGTTGTTATATGGACCTTGTCCGCACCGTAGTCCGGGACGCTGCTGGTGTTTTCCTTTGGGCACGCCTGGTCGTCAAGTCCGTCATCATGGCCACGAGACGGAGCACCGATGTCAAGTATCTGACGAAGCAACTGCGCGAAATACCAAAAGACCTCGATGGTCTTTACAAGCAGCTACTAGCCTCCATCAGCCCGGCTGATCGAAGAACAGCCTTCAAGATGTTTCTGCTTGTGGAGAGGCAAGAAGAGCGTTTAAACACCATAGCTTTGACCTGGCTGGACGACCTCGAGGATGAGACATTTCCGATATCGCATGCAATCCAGCCATATACCGATGACGAGATTAGTAGGCGGCTATCCACGGCTGAGATATTGGTTGACGAGGTCACGAAGGGTCTTCTCGAGGTCACATATTATCCGGCCGGACCTGGAGGCCTGTTTGAGATGGCCTATGTCAACTTCTTCCACCGAACATTTCTCGAATTCCTGAACAGCCGCGAATCTTTGCTGTTGGAAGAGTTTCAAGGCTTTCCCAGCGACGAATTACTATTCCGAATCGCCTTGGCTGATATCTGGTTCTGTAAACCTGAACTCGTCCCGTGGGCTATATTAAATCCTCCTCGGAAGCTAAGCCGCGAAGCTCAGCTCGCACGCCTAAACCTCAAGCGTATCGTCGGTCCGATGTTTATATTCAATCAAGCTTGGAAGCTAAGCGCCGAATCTCGGATCCCGCTCTTAGAAAGCCTCGAACGTGTCATCGCTCATCATACGTCTAACATCGCCGAAGACGTAGCCCTTTGGAAGGCTGGGTTTGGTAGCCACATGTTGCAGCCCCACGATTTTCCGCCCTGGGTCAATCTCAGCCTGAAGACGGGAACAGTATCAGTGTTCCATGGGGTAGCATGGAACTTCGCTGATGCCGGCTATGCTCGCCGTACGCCGTCCACGAAGCCCGAACTTCTACACGCCAAGGATGATCTTTCTCTTCTCGTCTCAACATCATTGAGCATGCGGACTGGCGCTTCGCTGTTGAAGACGGCCCTGGAGCTTGGAGCGTCACCAAACGAGCGGGTTAAGGTGCTGTACCAACCAATTGATCGTCAAACCCAGACATATTGCAATAGTGATGTGGCCACTCCCTGGATGCTGTTCTGCACGCGGTTGGCTGCTTTGGTGGTGGCACATAATGGTCTGAGGGATGGGAAATTTGGGGATGATTCAGAGCAGCGCGTGAACGCTGCAGGGAAGCTTGAAGCATTCCTCCGCACCGGCGTTGTGGATCTGAATTGCCTCGTCCTTGTTTCTGTAGGGAGGGAATTCAGCTTACTCAATCCATCGGACAGCATGGACATGGGGAGCCCTACCCATTGCGTATCCTTCCGACAATTGGTTGCGCAAATGGAACTCCCAAATCATGAAACCCTTCTGGAATTGATGGACGGGCCAAAGAGAGGCATCTGGGAAACCATTCGAGATCTATGGGAAAATTCGCGAGTCACCCCATCGAAACGCGATCTGGAATCCGAGCAAGCGTCTTATCCTCCCTTTTGCCTTGGCATGGAACCACCACCTGGGGAGCATGAGCCTCGTCGAGGAGATGAAAAGGACAAACGCAGTTTTATGTGCATTCCTTGAAATGGGCCGGCACTCAATTGATCGCTAAGGATCTACTGGTGAGGGTTTGCTGACGATGGGTTTTCGGTGAAGGAGACGGGATGTTTTGGGTTGGACTTGAAGCCTTCGGGGCCCACGGCCCTATGCATAGTTGCATACCTAGGTAGTTCGATTGGGCTTCTATTCTGCTCAGGGTCTACCTATGGAGTTGATGCCGAGAAGAATATCGTCCACCTCAATGTGATTGACACGACTGACGCTGAAAGAAGCTTCTGAGAGGCGAGAGGTAAGAGTGACAGGTTATCGAGGAGGAACGGACGAAGGATGCAGAGAGGAACGACCTGGGAGACACCAAAGCCAACGGAAGCCTTAGATAGTGGTAGGTGCGGTGGCTGACTAAGCGAGTCTCAGCCCCTAGCCCCCTGCCACACAACACTGCCGTAACTTGTAAGAGTCGCAGTTACCTACCCCACCTTATGTACTGTACATCGCAAACATGTGGGGCTCGCTCACTGTGACATTCCCTTCACAGGAATGAGGGGTCCTCTGCTGTCGGGATCTCTGGTTCGAGTTTGATAACGCCGTCCCCTTCGTGCCCCTCTCCCACCACCTATGCAAAGTCTCCGCCCCATTTTCATCGGAATCCGGACCCTACGAGCATTGTATTGGCACCAGAAACGTTCACTCAGCATCCTGCCGACAAAAGCCATGGACTACGAAACAATTCTTCAGGGAAAGTACCCTGCCAAACTGCACGCGAGGAGGGTCGTCGACTACATCCGCTCGAAGATTCCCGGTGCCTCAGGCGTGCTCTATCTCGAGAGTCGCGCGACCAAGAAGATAGAGGATAACGACGAGGATGAGCCGTTCCGGTAAGCTCCATAATCCATATTGCCGCAAGCCCAATTCCAAATATCTTCTAACGCGTTGAGAAGACAGCGCCGCTACTTTTATTATCTCACAGGCTGCCCCCTCGCCGACTCATATGTCGTCCACGACATGGACTCGTCCAAGACGACACTCTTCATCCCCCCGATCGACCCCGAGGACGTCATCTGGTCGGGTCTGCCCGTCTCTCCCGAGGAGGCCATGCAGAAATACGATGTGGACGAGGTTAAATACACGAGCGACGTCAATGCCACATTGGCACATCTAGGACCCGAGAAGTCGACTGTCTTTGCGATCCCCAACCAGGTGTCGGATCAGGTGACGTTCCTCGCCTTCGACAACACAAACTTCTCCATCCTGAAGGAAGCAATTGAAGTTACCCGCGTCGTCAAGGACGAGTACGAGCTGGCCATGATCGCGAAGGCCAACGCCATCAGCCACAAGGCGCACCGTGCCGTGCTCGAGAAGGTCAAGCACGCCAAGAACGAGTGCGAGCTTGAAGCTGCCTTCATCGGCACATGCATTGCCGCCGGCGCGCCCAACCAGGCGTACCACAGCATCGTGGCGGCGGGCCGCGCCGCGGCGACGCTGCACTACAAGCACAACAATGCGCCGATGGCGGGCAAGCTCAATCTCCTGCTGGATGCCGGCTGCGAGTGGGACTGCTATGCCTCGGACATCACGCGGACATTCCCCATCAACGGCAAGTTCACCAAGGAAAGCAGGGCCATCTACGACATTGTGCTCAAGATGCAGCTGGACTGCATGGCCATGATCAAGGAGGGGGTTCTCTGGGACGACGTGCACCTTCTCGCCCACAAGATTGCAATTGATGGGTTGCTCGAGCTGGGCATCTTGAAGGGCGACAAGGACGAGATCCTCGCCAACCGAACCAGTGTCGCCTTCTTCCCCCACGGCTTGGGGCACTACCTCGGCATGGACGTCCATGACACCGGCGGCAACCCCAACTACGCCGATAAGGACACCATGTTCCGCTATCTCAGGGTCAGGGGCACGCTTCCGGCCGGCAGTGTGGTCACCGTTGAGCCGGGCATCTATTTCTGCAACTTCATCATTGAGCCGTTCCTCAAAGACCCGAATCACGCCAAGTACATCGACAAGGATGTTCTGGACAGGTATTGGGATGTTGGGGGCGTCCGGTAGGTTAATAAATTGATGAGACTGCTTGCAACTGCTAACTTTAGTCCAGGATTGAGGACAATGTTGTCGTCACGAAGACTGGGGTGGAGAATCTGACGACGGCCATCAAAGATCCCGAGGAGATGGAGAGGATTATTGCTAACAGCTAGGCGACGAGCCTTTATTACGTGTTTATCCGCTGCGGCAGCAGTCAATCCCATGGTTGGCAAGAACATGAACTTCAGCTTCTCCATCATACTGTTGCCTTCTGAGTTGGGTATATTCCGTCTATCAGACTCCTCTCCTAGCTCAGGGGTGATATTTATGGTCAATAACAATAAGAAGTACAGGGTTTATGTAACTCCCAAGCAGCACATGTACTCCAAGAGAACCATGACGCGATCGAGCGAAGTTTGACACTCTCTGGAAAGCAATCTGGCAACTATTTCCAGCAGCCAGATTAGTTGAAGCTGACGTGGACGTGATCCCTAGATTCCGGCGTTAGAGTTACTGATACGCAGCCATCATAAATAGGGAAGCGCAGTTCTTACCAGTGGTTCTGGGTGACGTCGCCCCTGTCCTCCATCGGGCGCCAGCTGGTCCATGCCTTGACGCCGTCGACCGAAGGGCTCCAGATGCGCTGGCCCCAGATGACGTACTTCAGATTGAGGGTGCCACGGTTGTTCATGACCCACTCGGCGAGCTCCCGGCCGGACATGGTGGGAACCTATTAGGCGGTTGTCAGGGTCGATCGTCCTTCTTACAGGAGCACATTGGGAACCACTTACACCACCAGCATCTGAGCACATGAAGTCAATGGCCTTGCCGCAGCAGTGGTCTGAGGTGCCCGGGCACGAGCAGTCGCGGGTGCAGTAGATCTGTCTGACACGGCCGGGGAAGGCTGCCACGACCTTCTTTGCTCCCTCAACAGCGACGGCCTTGCAGGCGCCTACGCCGGGGATGGTCGGGGCAGGGTAACCGCCGAACCCGGTCGCCGCCGATGAGCAGCACTTGAATTCTAGATGAACAATGTCAGTCACATCGCAATGCGGAAAACCGACATCTGGTTATACGTACGAGAGGGGCCGGGGCACATTCCCGTGGCCGAGCTTCCGCCGCAGTCGCTTTGCCAGCGGCAGTTGCCCGCGCTCCCGTTGGGGCAGGTCGCTTTGGTGCAGCACTTGACGTTGTCGGGATCCGATGGGCAGGCGCCGGAGATGCTCACTCCGCCCGAGCTTGAGCAGTCGGAGGTGGTGACGCACACGCCTGGGCAAGGTAAGGTATGTAAGCATTTTGTGGTTATGTCAAGACGCTTCACGATGTTCGGCTCACGAACCTGCTCTTCCGCCGGATCCAATGCATGGCTCGTTGACGGCGGCCATGACGGCCGTGGCCATGACAAGAGCGAAAACTTTGAAGTGCATTGTTGTTGTCTGTTGCCTGCGATGGTACTGGGATCCGAATGCTGATGGAGCAGGAGGAGGAATGTCGTCGGTTCTCAGGGGATTATCAGACCCTTCCATGACTTTTTATACCAGAGACCTTCAGGTTATGTTCCAGCATTCAACTTACCTGACAATTGGGCGTGGATCAGCAGCCCCTACCCCTGACAACACAGTCTCTCGTATTTACTAGTGCTAATAGCCTCAGAGGTCGGATTTCACCTATAAGGAGGTTGTCCCGTTGTGCTACTTGTTGAAAAGATGACATCAATCGCCTATCGTTCCCTCCCTTGCCTCGGTGAGCAGCTTTCTTAGCTGCGGCACGAAGTCATGGCATGCAGCCATTGCAGCTTCTCCCCAAGATACTGGTCGGGCTAACTCAATCATGGCTTGCACAGCCGTCGGCCAAGTACACCTCGAAAGAGGCGAATCACAGCCTGAGGGGTCAGTTTCTCGGTAGACGGAACGGTACTACTGCCGGATCTTACGACCTGCTACGGTGCTATACCGACTACTACTACCAGATGATTGATGACCCAGATCACACGACGATGATAGTGATACTGCTGGGCATGCTCGAAATGTCTTATCCCCGACTACGTGAAAGTTCACCCTACATGAACGGTCACCCTGTTTCTCACAAAGTCACAGGTACCAGACTATTAGTTTATTGCTAGTACAGACCAGTTCAGAAAGACGAACCAGCGCCGTAGCGAGGCACGTGGTGGCACATCCCCCGCCCTGTAATTTCCTTCCATAACTCCCCTGATCCAGGCAGAAAATATATTAAGGTTGGCTAGTGTAACGGCAATGCATGTCATTGCATGGTTTCCCCTGGGCATGACTGCAGCCCTGAGCAGATCTCCGAGAGAACAGAAGCTTGGCGGAATATTCCATACCCATTGGCGGCTACATCAAGTACAACACTTGGCATATGTATGTATGTACATACAGCACATACAGCAGGTAGCTGGTCCCCTAAGAAGGTTATTTGCCAGCAGACGGACCGATCCTCGGTGTGCTGAAAGCCTGAAAGGAACCACGATGTATGCTCTATAGCTCGGGTATCTACGGCAAAACAAGTCCTCACCAACAGGGCTTCATGCACTGCAACGGCAACTTTTCAGCTCCACGATGGAGACGTTACACGTGTATCACTTGATAGGAAGTAATGGCTGTGCCGTACCGTCATAAGATGCGGGGACCCCATGGTTCCGGAATAGTCCTGCGGCGTGCATGTGTAATACGGCTTCAAATGTCGGCCCGATCGGTCTTAAACTAAGAGGGGCGATTGCAGTGAGCTGAAAGTCTGAAACATTGATGGACCAAGCCTCACCCCTCGTTATATGGAGACTTTGGTGCAGTGAAGACCAGTGATAGTATCACGGCGAGACTGCCCGTGGTCTCTACAACTACTGATCATGGCAATGGAAAATTGGAAATGCCAGGCTGCTAACTAGTACCCAAGATTTTGTCAATTTTAGGGTGCGTGCGTTTGACTCCGAGTCTGATATGCTGCATGTGGTGACTTCAGCAGCTTGGGTGCCTACATACATCATACATGTAACGTGCCAGGCACGCTGACTGGAAGATGTCTGGTGACTTTGATCTCTCACTTTTACATGATTTTCGTCTTAACAGGGTCTCTATCGACTCGGAATACTCATATTGCTCAGGGGTTCCATTACACTGACGTTACTGTACCGAAGGGACACCTACCTAACCTAACCAATAGTCCGCGGAAACGTGCATGGGGGACAACTTAAAACAACTTAAACTAGTACGTAGGGGCGAGGCAAGCACTTGTCAGTTGTCGATCATAGGATAAGAGGCTCTGCTTAATATAGTATGTGCGTCTGGCGGCCAATTCGTTGCAGCTAGCCTGGACTGATTGACTGAATTGAATACCCTGTGTGAGACTGTAAGTGAATAAGTCATTATCTAGTAAAAGTGCCTGAATGGGCAGTCTTTATTAGTACATGAATAGTAGGGCACAGTACTGCTCAAGAAACCTTACTTGAGGTAACGTTACTTAGCTTATACACGGAGCTCCTACAACTCCTTTTTCCTTAGAACTCCACTCAAGAATGATATCATGCCATATTTCCGAAAACTGTGGTGAGACTTTACACGCTTCTTTTACATGTAGGCGTTCCCACCAGACTGGTATAGGTGTAGTTGAAGCTCGTTCAATCTACTCTGCTTAGTACCCTTGTATCTTGATCGCATTCAGCTCAATATCTTCGAGACCAGGAGTCCAACTCTCATGACTGATGTTGGAGCGCACCGGATAGAGTGTACACGGCTAGACAAGAACATCTCAACTCCGTTGAGTTTTCATGTTGTCTGTGAGTGTATCTAATTGCAGGTGGGCCTTAGTAAACATGAAGTACCTACTACTCAGTTCTACCTATAATAGTTGTATTAAGTCTAAGGTATGCGTTAAGAGTCTAAGAAACTGAATCATTATCGAGTACCTAGATGGAGCATCAAGCGCTAAAAGCAGGCCAGATACCTTAGGCATATGGATCATTAGCTCCCTGCCACTACTCCATTCTCTCTCTTCTCTCAGCTTCTCCCTCTCGGGATTTAGGTACTGACATGCAGTACTTTGGCGTTTCTTTTCGTTCCTCATGAGTCTGGCAGTTTAGCCGTCGATCCAGCACCACGGAACCGACTGTAATCGGGTTGAAGAATTGGTCCCGCGGGTAAAGTCATCTGGGGCCGGAAGACATATTTAGGCAGTTGCCAACGCCAATCATGTAGTCGATGTTTCCAGATGCTCAATCGAATGAAGCTTGGATTGGCATGCAGCGATATAGACAACGGCAGTGCCCGGCGTCTAGGCCACGTTGCATCATCTGAGCGATGCATTACCATAACCTGGGGATGTGCCGAATGTCAACAAAAGAAGACATCTACGCCCGGACACTCGAAGGCCAAATCCATTTGGTCTTGTCCACCGCACAGCCCTCTGCCTCAACAACTTCGCCGTCTTAGGTTTGTGGAACAGGCTGCTCCCTCAGAATTGGGCTCATTGCTAGACAGAAAATAGCCCACCATGACACGGAGCCGGCTCTCCCTCGCCCGCTTGCTCCTTCTCGGGCTGCTGGCACCTCTGGCCACTGCCAACACGGATGCCAAAGCTGAGGTTAGAGCAGACCCTCCTCCCGCAGGTTCGGGCGATGGCCTAGCCTATGAACCCATTGACAAGGGCACCGTTTACGCCCAAAACACGACAGCCACCCCACGCAAAACGCCGCCTGTAGAAGGATGGTGGGAGTCCAAGATCTGCGAGGGCGAGTACTGTATCTACACAAACCGCCGGATGGCCAAGGGCCGTGGCATCGTGCTGGTCACCAAGCACGAGGAATACCAAAAGATGGACCGCCTAGAAGAGCACTTCGAGCGAGGCGAGAACAAGTACTTTGAGGACCCCGTCCCATTCGAGGAGGTGCAAGACCAGGAGCAAGGCGTCCTTATCAGAGCAACAAAGGCGATCCGTCGCGGGAAGCCGCTCATGTCGTGGACTCCGGTACTAATCGTCCACCAATCCCTCTTTGACGACATTCCGAGAAAGAAGGACCGCATCAAGCTGTTGGAAGCCGCCGTGGCCTTCCTCCCCGACGCGACGCGCGAGAAGTTCGACAAGCAACGCCTGCGGCCCGGCGATCCGGCCAACCTCAACCCGAGGTCCATCGAGGAGATCCTTCGTGCGGCGCCCTTTGAGATCGATCTCGGCTACATGTACCGGCGGGAGGAAAACTCGAAGCACTACGTCAACTACCCCGAGGTCTTTGTGTTGCAGCACGATTGCCGACCCAACGCCGCCTACCACCTCGACGAGTCGTTCGCCATCCGGCTCACCGTCGCCCGCCGCATCCAGGTCGGCGAACCTATCACCATCGCCTACATCAACCCCCTCACGCCGCGCGAGGAGCGCATCTCGTGGGTAAAGCGTCGCCGCGGGAACGGCAAGAAAGGCTGCACCTGCAGCGCATGCTCGCCGAAGGGTGGTAATGAGGAGATTGCCAATGCGGATAAGCGGCTTGAGGAGATTCTAGAGCTGCGGGGTGAGCTGAGGAACCATGACAGCACAAAGGTGGACTTTGACTTGATTGAGCGGTACTTGAAGCTCGTGGAGGAGGATCGACTGCATGCCAAGTTTGCCGAGGCGTACGAGCTGGCGGCGCTGAATTATAATTACCTGGGTGACGATAAGAAGGCGAAGAAGTATGCGGATATGGCGGTGCAGGCGGGCATTGTTGAGGGCGGCGTCAAGTCGAACGACGTGGTTGCGATGCGCATCATGGCGTCGGATATCAAGGGGCATTACTCGTATCGGTATACACTCAAGAGAAGGGGAAAGGTGCCCAAGAAATAGGGCGGATAATAAAGCGTGTAAATGGGCAACACATGATTATTAGGACGAGAAACTTGTCGAGCGGTTGCTTTGCTGAATAGGACGTCACATGTTTATCAGCTTGTATAAGATGAACCCATATCCGGCTTTCACGGCAATGATTCCGTGAGATCGGTTTCCGATCAACCGCGCGAATCGCGCGAGAGCATGAACCGGGAGCAAGCGTGGGCTTAGCGATGAAATCAAGTAAGTAGGCGATCAGTTGGGACCTAGTACGAGGTATCATTCGCAGCCTAGAACGATTCTCAAATGCGGGTGCTTAAACAAGAAGATATCTACTCCGTAGATGACTTGGGGGATTTGTTGAGAGATGTGCTGCCTGATGACAGAGTTGAGGTTGTGTCATTGCAGTGGGGCTTCCGAGGCTCCACCCTGCCCCATCAACATTCAACGAGCAGCTGCGCCTCCCTGGCTGAGCCAAGAAACCGCACCGGAATCGGCCCCCCAACCCTCCGTTCCGTCGCTTAACTTATCGTTTGTGATGCCGAGCGCTTCTGAATTCCCGACCTTTCAACCGAGCACGCGACTCGGCCCTCCCCCCAAAAACCCGGACTCGATGACACTGAAGGGATTCGCCCTGAGCGGGCTCGCTGCTCTAGCTCTGAGTGGCGCGACAGCTTTGCACGTGCCGGAGCAACAGCAAGTACCGATTGGTGTCGACTCCAAAGTCCAGGGACTCAAGCCCGGGAAGCCCCTCGTCGACTCCGACGCCCTTCAGGCCACCATCAACAGCAAGAACCTGTTCGCGCGTGCGAAGAAGCTGTGGTGGCTCGCTCACATGTCCAAGGAGGAGTACAATCACCCCACGCGTGTCATCGGCAGCAAAGGCCATCTGGGGACCTTTCTCTACATTTCCCAGACCCTCGGTACACTCGGCGATTACTACAGAGTCTGGCACCAGCCTTTCACCGCCGTGACGGGATATGTATCCGAGTCGCGCTTGGTTCTCGACCAATCCGTGGCCCAGCATGCCCAGCCCATGAGCTTGACTCCCCCGACCAAGAACAAGGAGCCCGTCCACGGCAATCTCACGCTCGTGTCCAACGATGGCTGCGACGCAGGCGACTACCCTGCCCTCGTGTCGGGCAACATTGCCTTTATCAAACGTGGGACCTGCCCCTTCGGCACCAAGTCTGAGCTGGCCGGCAAGGCAGGCGCCGTTGCGGCCGTGGTATACAACTATGAAGACGGCCCCGTGGCTGGCACGCTCGGCGAACCCTCGCGGCACCACGTCGCCACCTTTGGCCTGCCCGGCGAGGATGCCCGTCCCTTTGTCCAGCGGCTCCAAGCGGGCGAGACAATCCCGTCCATTGCGTACGTGGACTCCGTCGTCGATCAGATCGTCACCAGAAACATCGTCGCCCAGACCACGCAAGGCGATCCCGAAAACTGCGTCATGCTCGGCGGGCACAGCGACTCAGTCGACGCGGGACCGGGTATCAATGACGACGGATCCGGCAGTCTTACTCTTCTGGAGATAGCCGTCAACCTGGCCAACTTCACTGTCAACAACTGTGTGCGTTTCGCCTGGTGGTCTGCCGAGGAGGAGGGCCTGCTGGGCTCATACCACTACGTCAAGAGTCTGTCTGCCGAGGAGAACCGCAAGATACGCCTGTTCATGGACTACGACATGCTAGCGAGTCCGAACTTTGCGTACCAGATCTACGACGCCCGGAATGACGAGCACCCCGTTGGGTCCCAGGAGCTGCGCGATTTTTATGTCGATTGGTACACACGGCAGGGTCTGAACTACACCTTCATCCCCTTTGACGGGCGGAGCGACTACGACGGGTTCATCCGGGGCGGCATTCCCGCTGGTGGAATTGCCACTGGTGCTGAGGGCGTCAAGACGGTCGAGGAGGCGGCCATGTTTGGCGGTGAAGACGGGGTGCCGTACGATGTCTGCTACCACGAGCTCTGCGACAACCTGCAGAACTTGAATCTCACTGCTTGGGAGGTGAACTCGAAGGTAGGCCTTTGCTAAATGCTTGTACCGGAGCGAGGTGGATCATGCTGACACTGTGGTAGCTGGTGGCGCACTCAGTAGCCACCTTTGCCAGGTCGTTCGAAGGGTTCCCCAAGAGGGCGGTGGACGACATCACCCTCGCGGCTAGCTCAGCCAAGCATGACGCATACGAGAAGAAAGCCAAGTACCGTGGAAGCAAGTTGTTCATATAGGGACGTTTTACCGAATACCGAACTCCATTTTTAGTACAAACATTCGTTACCGCACAACAATAGACAGGGGAGTAGAGGATCAGCGTTGATAGAGTCTGCAAAGTCTTTTTCCCCCTTACGATTTCACCTGGTATTTCTGAACGCCTTGTGAAAGTAAGTCCCTGTATCCAAACCGACCGAACGCCGTCCGCTTCTAACATTCCAAGTCCGGGTATCTCTCCTTGTCCGATCTAACCTGCCGCCTGCCTCCAAGGACCCATGCAACCCGAACCGATGTCTAACCCATCTAACTCCGAACCAAAACCCAAACAACAGACAAAAGAAGTCCCCACCAACTACCGCTCATACCACCGCTCCCAGCCAGGGTACGACCCATACCCCTCTCCGCGCCCGCGTTCCCTCTCCAGCATCTCCAACTCCTTCTCAATCCTCTCAATCTCCCTTTCCCTCTCCTTCTGAAGCCTCCTCAACCCCTCCGGGTCATCCGACCTTCTCTTACGCTCGCGATCGAACCGTTCCCGTAGCGCCTCGAAATCGAACGAGCCTCCACCCCCGCTCCGCGCTGCACTGCTGGCCCACGAGGCGGCACGGTCGCGCCGCGCCCGCCTCAGCTCGTGCTCCACACACCGCCCGGACCCGGTTGACGATGATGATCGTGGCTCTAGGCACCCGGCTACCACGCACGCGTGTGACGGGCAAAAGTCGTCGCCGGGGGATCGCCGCGCGGAGAGGCACCGCGGGGATTTGCATGTGTGCGACGGGCAGGTTCGGGAGGATGGTTGCGAGGGGTCGGATACCTGGTTCTGGCAGGGGGAGATTTTGCAGCGGTCTGTTGGTGGTTTGTTTTGTTAGTCTGATGCTACCTGTCTGGTTTGCGATAAAAAGGGGCTGGCTTACGGAGCACGCAGATGGGGCCTCCTCCCGCGGGATCGCGGGCGTTGCCGCATTGGGCGAGGCTGCACTTGTGGGCCAGGCAGTATCTGAAATGGTAGCCTGGCCTGCGGCGGACACAGCCGGGCCACTCGCACTTGAAGGTGCCGTAGTGCACGGCGCAGGTCAGGAGGAGACTGCCGTCCCGGTCGAGATGGCAGGGCCGGTCGCAGCCACTGATGTTGCATGTTATGGTGTGGGTGTTGCAGCGCTGCTGCTGCGAGTCGCGTGCTCTGGCGCGGCAGCGGGCTACGGTGCACCGGTCTGTCAAGAGGATGGGATCAGTCGAACTGTGTGTGGGATTTGTTGGTGCAGGAGTGGGTGCAAACTTACGGGCGGCGCAGAACCACTGCACGTACTCGCCCCGTTCGGAGGCAAACTCCCCCAGTTCAGCGCATCCAGGCTGGCCGCATTTTAGGTCTGGGATTGTGGTCAGCAGCTATTTTATGGTCTATCAGGCGTGAAACTTACGGCTTTGGCAGTAGCGCTGGCCAGTGACTCTTGGGTGCGAGCAGTGGTCACTGTCTTCTAGCAGGAAGGCCTCGCAGGTGTCTGTACATGCATGTTAGTGGCGACAGCTTCTCAAGGACTATCGGGACCGGCTGGAACATACGGAGTTCGCAGTACTTGGAATAGATGCGAGTCCCCGCCCTCCCGGGGAGGGTGCAGTAGCACTGCTTCTTGCGGCAGCCGTCAACACCGCACCTGTCGCGACGAGAACCACGAGAAGTCGCCTCAGATGAGTCTGAGAGGTGTCCGTAGTAATGGGCGTAGCTGTCCATTGCGGCGACGAGATGCGAGCGCAAGGATGGAAGTCAGGTGGGTCGTTTTATCGAGGCGCGACCCTCAGGCCTCGTCGAGCTGGTTGAGAGCTGCTGATGAACGAATCGCCTCGCGGATCGGTAGATCAAGAGCCTATGATCTACAAGTTTGTTTGTTGCAGAGGTTGTTGGAGAATTGTGATCGAATGCATACCTTCATCGAGATGTTCCAGAAGTGCAAATCGGAGTGTATTTAAAGATCATGCGGGTCGGGAGGCCTGCAGTGGGACCTTGCAGCGGGCCATTGCAGTGCCTTGCATTCTGCACGACGCAGAAGATGCGTTGCAGCCGCAGTGTCTGGGGGAGCCAATGTCAAGCGTGGCTGAGCAACAATCATCCACTCAGGCGCCGTGACCTGCCCAGAGTTACCGGGGGGTTGTTGCACCTCCGGGGTCGGCAGCAAGCCACCACAAACCTCTGCAGGTGGGTGAGGACCTGGAAATTGGAAAAGGCTCGTGGACGACCCCCGTCGTCTCCAAACTGTCGGGCCTGGTTGAGTGAAGATAACCCGCCCACATCCAAGCAGCGTGTTCTGCACATTTGGGCTTGACACGGCGGGACGGGAGATTGTGCTATGGCCTTTGCTGACCCGAAAATCATCTTCGGATACCCTGTTGCAGCTAACTCTGTGCTTCAAAGAAAAATTTCCCTGGAAACTGCCAGCCTTGCCAGATGGTGTCGTGGGCGTGTCGGGTGCTCCGAAAGGCTCAGAATGTGGAAATTGAGGTGTAACCTGAATTTCTTTGATGCCTTCTCGTACGCGTCACCAGACACCAGACGAGGCAGACCTGACCTAGGTGAGTGTGTGCGGCATTGCCACTGCTTTCAAGTTGGCAAGTGACGAGCAGCTAATTGTTCAGCAGCCCCAACAGCAACGTCAATCTCACAAGGCTCCCAATTTCCAAAGTTGCAGCCTTCTTGCCTCAATTTACACCAGTGGGTTGCCTCTGCAAGAAAAGCTTGTTGAAGGTCATTAATAACCCAAGTGTGCTCGACACCATGCGGCACAGCGGCTAGGGCGCAGGGGTGGGCAACATGTCGAGCGAGGGTGGGATGGGAGGTGTCACGTTCCCGGAACGGGCTTCCGTCAACGTACCTTCGTACCTCCAAAAGACTGCGCCTTACGCCAGCTCACACAACACGAGAGGGAGCCTGTGCCTCTTGACAGTGAAACAGCAAAAAATCCAACCCCGTTGGGCGACCTCTTGAAGAAACACTCGCCGCGCTGGTGAATCGCCAGAAATGAAGTTACAACGGTGTAGACACACGCTGTAAAACTGCCCGGTTGCGACTTCGCTTCATCGACACAGTGCTCCGTAGCTCAGCTTTACCCCGCAACACAACGCCTCAGAAGTTCAACCTCAGTTAAATCGTCCAACCTGCTATGTACAACGGATACTCCAGATGCGACAATGTGGCTCATCAACAGCCGAAACATGAAACTGGAGTTCATGCAGAATCCAAAGAAAAATTCATACGCAATTCTCTCTCACACCTGGGGCGACGATGAGGTCTCCTTCCAAGAGTATCGCCAATACGAACAAGGGAGAGCGCCCGGACATGCTAGGACAGGCCTTGAAAAGATCATCATGACTTGCCAACTGGCCTTGACGCGAGGACTTGCATACTGCTGGGTCGACACGTGCTGCATCGACAAGTCGTCAAGCGCAGAACTGAGCGAGGCCATCAACTCCATGTTCCAGTGGTACAAGGACGCAGCCGTCTGCTTTGCATATCTCTCCGATGTCCGGGCTGGGGACAGCTTTGGCCGGGCGTTTGCGGCATCTCGATGGCTGAAGAGAGGATGGACGCTACAGGAACTCATTGCTCCTCGCAACGTTGAGTTTTACGACGCGGCTTGGAGTAAGAGATCGTCAAAGGCTGAATCACTCACCTTCCTGTCCAACTGCACCGGCATTGATCGCGAAGTGTTGGAGGACTGCACAAACCTCTCCCGAATACCCATCGCAAGACGCATGTCGTGGGCGTCAATGCGGAAGACGACCCGCATCGAAGACACTGCGTACTGTCTGATGGGCATCTTCGACATCCACATGCCCATGATCTACGGAGAGGGAAAAAAAGCGTTCATGAGGCTGCAAGAGGAGATTGCAAAGCAGAGCTGTGATCTCTCTTTGTTTGCGTGGACATCAAACATTCCGCCTGAGCTTGACGAACCTGAAGAGGACAGAGACGAAAGATCCTCTGAAGGTATCCGCGAGGAGTTCAGAGGCGCCTTTGCCAGGTCACCAAGGGAGTTCTACTACTCTGGGAACCTCAATCGTGGACAAATGGGCGGGCTCATGGACCCAGAGTTTACTATTACAAATAAGGGAGTCCGCATAACAACCGCCCTGGTGGAATCAGATTCAATGCCTGGAGAGAGCATATGGAATTTGGGCATTCGTCAAGCGCCTCAAACTGACATCACTGATCCTCGCGGCTGGATGGGAGTGTATCTAGCAAAGACCCCTCTGGGCTATGTCCGCAGTCATCCGGAAAGACTGTATGTGGCTGGCGACGATGCACGAACCGTGTACCAGAGAGGGGGGATATACATCCGGCGGGATCTAAATGCTGCCGACCAGGCGGCCCTTGAGTCTCGCTTTTTTCGCTCCATCCACATTGGGAGCAAACCGCCGGGCGCGTTGGTGGTTGACGTCATGCCAAAGGATCTCTTTGATCCAGTCTGGGAACTCTTCCTCCATCAAGCTTGGGGTATAAATGCTTATGTGAAGTTCGATTTCCCATGCTGTCCACACGGAAGATTCGAGGCGGTGGTGGGATGTTCGACAATCCAGGAGCCCGTGTGCCGGGTTTGGACTGAACAAGACGAAGTGTTTAAATCGGTCATGCAACATATGAATTTCAGAACGCAACTGAGCGACTATGTTGCGGTGGACTATTTTCGAGCCTATTTCCTTGACGGAGGCGGTTCAAAAGGCGGTGCAGACGGTTCTCAGACTACGATATCAACAACCCATTTTCGGTGCAACCAATTTCGGGAGCATCAGGTCAAGGTCACTGCCAGGCTGGTAGCCGGTGAGTACCAGAACACTGAAGTGTTTTCCCTCGATGTCTTTTGTGGCCCAGTGGTCGAAGATAGCGTCATGGACGGATGAGATCTTTGATGATGTCCGAGGATTAGAAGCGAAGAATGATGCTGCGACGCGGAGACCAAGCTGTTGAGTACAGCGCGCAGCCCAGCCTAAGAGGCTATGGTGTCATGTTGCAAAACTGTGACGAGCCAACTTCCAGTTGAAACCTTGGGCATAGTGAGATGCTAGGCTTCACATATTCCATATGAACGTTGCCAGTAACCGAGTTGATGGTGAAATATATTTGCATGATTGCAATACATATGTTATCTCTCCTTATCAGCGTTTTTGTGGTTTTCTTACTTTTCTAGTCCGACTTTAGAGCTTCATTTTCAATACCAAGCCAAGGGGTTCAGGGGTTCAACCAACACCAACCACTCGCACGACACACGCACGATCATCTCATCCTAGCACGAATTACGACAGCAGGTACTATCCGTGAATCTCAGGGCCAGATAAGCTACCCCCACGTTCGGGATCCTCGTCGCCGGGTAGGGGATCACATGCCTTGACAGTTCAAGAATCGGCAGTGATACCTCGAACTACCGGTGCTCTATTCTTCCTTCATGTTGCCACAGTCTGGTGCACTGCGCTCACTCTGTCGGATGGGGTCTATCAATCTCAAGCTGGTGAAAATTACGGGAGATCCGCTAGTTAGGTGTTGGTCGACAAGATCCCCGCTGTCATCAGGCCAAAGACGCCGCTTAGGGAAGGTATCTCCTATCACGCAATATGTAACGCTGATGCCAGAATACACTTCAACTCGCTACTCCACGCACATCGGCTGGGGGTCTAGAACAACATCTGGGTCTTAATCGCCACTGCCGATGGTTCGTATAAACATCACAGATGCCATCCTACTCTATGCCCGGGCCGGCTACCACTCACATCGCAGCCACCCCCAAGTCCCGGTTCCGCCTTCATTCAACCGCAAGTGATACCGACAATGGCACACTCGCCTGCGTCAAGCTCAACTCCAGTCACCGAAGACAAGAGGTACGAAATGGCGGATGGTAAAGACACAGACAAAGCCCCTTTCGAGTCGACTTCAGCCAGCGAGGATTCCAGCTCCGAGGCGGAGTCTCTGGATCTGGCCAAGAATCCCTTCCTCGACCCCGAGGTCGCAGCCTACTGGCGACAAGTATACGACGACGCTCAGTACGAGTGCCGCCATGCGTTCGACCCGACCTTGACATGGACTGAGGAAGAAGAGAAAAGAGTGGTCCGCAAACTAGACTGGAGGATCTGCACCTGGGCGGTATGTATCACCCGGGCTCTTACAATCTCCTGCTTCGTGTCTACTGCAGTGCCTATTTACCTTGATGACCTCAAGGCTGATACGTAGTTGCTACTAGTGCGTCATGTTCTTCGCCCTCCAAGTTGACCGAGGGAACCTCTCGCAAGCCCTCTCCGACAATCTCCTTGACGATTTGGGTCTTAACACCAATGGTACGGTCCCTTGAACAGTCCCGCCTTTGTCTACTAATGCTGACACCAAAAAGACTACAACTATGGGACCGTGGTCTTCCTCATCAGCTTCCTCTTGGCCGAACTGCCATCCCAGCTGGTATCCAAGAAGATCGGCCCGGACCGGTGGATTCCTATCCAAATTGTGCTCTGGTCGGCAGTCGCTATTTCGCAGTGTGCCATAACGGACCGCTCAGGGTTCCTCGCTACCCGTGCTCTGTTAGGGCTGCTCGAAGGGGGCTTCATCCCGGACATCGTTCTCTGGCTGTCTTATTTCTATACCTCGCGAGAGCTGCCAATCCGGCTGAGGTCAGTTTGTACCCCCTGACCCTGACTGTCAAGCCAACCTTAGGTCCTAATCAAGGAACACAGCTACTTCTGGACAACCCTGTCAGTAACAACAGTGGCAACCTCCCTGCTTGCCTTTGCCCTTTTACATCTGCGTGGTGTCAACGGCTGGGCCGGTTGGCGATGGCTGTTCCTTGTCGAGGGCCTTATCACGATGGTCATCGGGCTAGCTTCCTTCTTCAACATGCCTGCATCAGTCGTGCAAACTAAAGCGTGGTTCCGCCCCAAGGGCTGGTTCAGCGACCGCGAGGTGGCCATCGTGGTAAATCGCGTTTTGCGCGACGACCCGTCCAAGGGAGACATGCACAACCGTGAGGCCATCACGCTCCGCCGGCTGTGGGAAGTTCTTAAGGAGTATGATCTCTGGCCCATGTATGCCATCGGGCTGATCTCGTTCATTCCTCAGGGGCCGGTGAACTCATACCTGACCTTGACACTGCGGTCGCTTGGGTTCAACCCCTTCACCACCAACCTGCTTACCATTCCGAATGTACGTCTTCTATGTCTGAAATGATGCTTTACTCAACTAACCCTTCCCAGACAATCTTCCACATCATCTTTCTTCTCGCCCTGACCCGGCTGTCCGAGTATCTCAACGAGCGCACTTTTACAGCCATGCTCCAATCCGTGTGGACACTGCCTTGTATTATCGCCCTGCGCTTCTGGCCCGGCGTCATCAAAGATGCTTGGGGCACTTACGCACTAATTACTGTCCTGCTGTCATACCCCTACTGCCGTATGGCTCCTTCCCCCTGCCCCTTTCCCCCTTCTAGCCTCGTGCACTGCCTAACCGCATGCTGCTTCAGACGCAATCATGGTGGCCTGGACCTCTAAGAACGCAAACAACGTTGGCACCCGGACGGTGGCATCAGCTCTGTACAACGTAAGCTGGCCTTTTCCCTCTGAGTCACTTGAGTCGGGTTACCACCAACCTTAACGGCCAACCCCAACCCCCCACGCTCCCCCCTATCCCCTCTCAAACAACCAACAACCCCCTCCCGTACAACACCCACTAATCCATAGCAAACAAAGATATCCGTCCAACTCGGCCACGTAATCTACTCCTTCATCTACCAGGACCACGACAAGCCCTACTACCGCGAGGGCAACACCAGGCTGGTCGCCATCAACCTGCTGGCCATCGCCATCTTCCTCACCACCAAGGCCTACTACGTCTGGCGCAACAACCAAAAGGAGCGCAAGTGGCGTGCCATGAGCGAGGCCGAGCGCGTTGAGTACATCAAGCATAGCCCTGTGAGGGGGTGTAAGCGGTTGGATTTCCGGTTTGCGCATTAAGCTGAGAGTTTGGATTGGCTTCCACATTGAATGGTGTTTTGTACCTGACCAGGGGTATCTGTAGATAGACTTGAGTTAGGGGTAGTGGCTCACTCAGGGGTTGGTGTCAAATGTCTTGTCAGGGGGTGCTGCTGACGGTTGCCAGTGGAGGAAGCGCTGTTTTTCGTTCCTCCTTGGCTACCTAAGATACCATCGACGGTTCACTCCGCCCGTTTGTTGATGGCGACGAGGGGAAACCTGTTGATGAATCACAAGTTTTGGGTAAATCATGTCCCTAAGTGGCCAACAAGAAGACGGCCAATCCAGCAAGTACTGTAAGGACGACTGTGTCTATGTGATAACGTAGCTCCCTTCCACTGTGTTTTACCGGTGTATCACTCATTGACCCCATGCTTTATGTCCTGCCGTTACATAACCCCCTGAATGCAAGCCCTTCCGTCTTTAGTAGCCGTTCAGCCTCATAAACCACCATCCAGCGCCAACGTGTCCCTATAAATACCAAGCGAGCTCCTCACGAACTCCCAATTCCCAACCTATGCAGACTGCCCCGCTTCAACTCTCCGTATCGGTCCCCGGGTCATGCCGCGGTCTTTTGCGCCGCCGCTTTCCCTCACTATCCGCCTGAGCTTCATGTTGCATTTGTTGCTGGGTGGCAACAGTCGTGAGCTGCATTTGCTGTTCCCACGCGTTGGCCGGGTATGTCCCCGCCCGCTCCATATCAGGGACAACAAAGGGTGATGCCGCTGGCATCGTTGCGGGAAGCGACACGGTAGGAGCGCAGCCGGGTCCGAGGTAGCCTGAACTGCCAGGGACTGTCCATTGATGGCCCAGGGATGAAACAGGATTGTTACTGCCAACCAGCGGGGCACCCAGCCACCCACCGTACCCCATAGTCGGAAAGGAGAGGTCAAGTGAGGTGTGCTTAGAATCGCCCCACAGCGGAAAACTGGGCGATGATATGGTGTCCAGAGTATTGATGTCCGGCTGGCTGCCAGCAAGCTCGCCCTCGGGATCGTAGTCGATATGTTTGTCGGCCAAGCAAACAATATAGACCAGGCGCTCGATGATACGTCCCAGCCTTGTAGTATAATTGTCGGGACCGTTGTTTTGGAGAGCCGGGTTGTCACGGAAACATGCCCAAAGGGCCTCAAGCAATAACCTGTCCTCGCATACTTGGTTCTGACTTTCTTCTTGGCCACCGCCCTTCCCTTCGGTTGGTGGCTGCCTCACAGAGCCGTCCCTCAATTGCAAGATGTGCCTGGCAAGAACAAAGAGAGATATAGCTGGGAAACTGAGGGCCAGCCGATGGATTCCAATTCGGGGAGGTTGCTGCGTAGATTTAGCCTCCGCAGGAGGATTGCTTGTTAGGGCCGGTGGCGATGGCAACGTGGCATTGGTAGGCGTAGAGCTCGCGACCACGTCTCTGGCAGCGTCGCTACCAAGAAGCATCCTCGTTCGCTCCACAAACTTCTCGTTTTGTAGACCATCGCACGCGGCCAACAGTAACAGACAGCTGAGGCGAGCATCATCCAACACCTGGGCACAGTCGGGTCCGTTCTCCTCTCCGGTTTTCTGGGCCTCAATCGCCCTGATACGCGTGCCTAGGAAAGCAAGGCTCAGGGAAACGTCGTCCTGGGTCGATGGCAAGGTTTTGGGTGGCACGGAATGCTTCTCCGACCACAGCTTAAGGCCTTGAGCAATCCTCGCTAGCAATACGCGGCATTCTGCGGCCGATACCAGAGGGCTCTGCGGCGAAAAGATCAGATGGTGCATTTCGCCCTGCAACGTAGCCAGTTCGATCCAAGCCGCCTTGTTCCTCTTGTTCACGCCGGATCTCGATTCCGACTGAGACCTACGAGTTGCATCTTCGGCATCACATTCCTGGGATGGGCTGAGCCCGAGAGTGAATCTCGTCAGCCATGGCGATGAGCCCCTGAGCAAGGCGCCACAGCGATCTCGGACGTAAAGGGAATGGAATATCTTCTGACGCTCCTCAACCTCTTCGGCAGACAATGATGATAAGGTAGACCCGCGCCCTGCGTGTTGGAGGCCCATGGTTTTGGCAAGCGTGCAGGCTTGGGAAAACAGGGCGTCACCAAGTGTCTCACTATGAGTCTGCTGGACAAGAAGGCTCTACACGACGGACTTAATGTCAGCGTTCGATCTCATAAGTCCCGGTGAAATGCTTACGAGAAGAGCTAACGCCTGCACATTGACCACTCGAAGAGTCAAGAAAATAGTAGATTGGTGGGCAGCGGTGCGAGCAGCCATGATCAGACCGTGTGTGAACGGGTCGCGCTTGTTGACACCATGATCTTCTCCTATGACAAGCAGAATTATGGAAGTGAAGCAGGCGGCCCATGCCTCAGAGTCTGCTGACAAGTTGGCATACACTCGCTCAACAGCCTGCTCAAATATTGGACGCACAAAAATATCCGTGGCGTGCTCGGCGCGACTGAAGAACCTGTCGAGGACGGAATCGAGCAGTTGACGCGGAGGGAGGGGGATACTCGTGCCCGTGCATTTGGTGAAACCCTGCTGGAGGTCATCTTCGGCATCGAGCCACATCCGGCCAGCGACATTGCCAGCGGCGCTTGTGTACCCAAAGCGCGAGCTGACCTCGACTCCAAACTCACGGCAGAGGGCGACCAGCGTCCATGGCCCGTAGTATTTCTCAACCGAGTCCCCATTGCTGCGGGTGAGATAGCCGGCAATGAGCGGGGCGACACCACGCTCAGGACCAGCATGTGTCTCGGGCTCGCTGGCTGGTTGCGTAGCTGGCCCGGGCAAAGCTCCAGACACTTTTGTGTGCCGGAACAGGGCAGTCAGCGACGACAGCTCCTCTTGAACGAGGGTTAACCTGTTCTGCAAATCACCGAACCCTTCGCATCTGCTTCAGCAGTGAGCACCCTTTCATGCATGCGATTGCAGAGGGACAAGTAACTGACAGCACTTTGACGTGGTTGACGCGCTTTGTCGGTGTCGTGTAAACGCACTTTACTCGGTCCCTCGAGCAGTTAGTGCAGGTCGGCCGTTCCCTACCGCAACGAACCTTTCGGTTCCGACAATTTGAACACGCGACGTCCTGCATGGCCGGCGCTGTAGCTGCTGGTCAGCAATTTTGTATTGATGTTCGCCGCAAGGATAGTGACTTGGAGAGCCGCAGCTGCGATCCAAGTGCTACATACCTCACTCAATCTTGACATTTGCTGTCCCGTTATGGGGGAATTGCTTTCTGGGCGCCGCGGAGGGCCAGCCTTACGAGCCGACAGAACTTTATAAGGGTTGCATCGAAGGGCTCACGGGACGTCAGCAGCTGAAATGCGCACCAACGGACTCCCGCGAGGGACGTTACCTCGTGTTAGCGAATGCTATGTCCCCGCGCACATCCAAATCGGTTGGAAGCCATGGTTGGAACAAGGGAGGCGGGCTTTGCATAGCCAAGTCCAAGGAGCTGGGGCTGGGTGCCATTGACGTCGGATAAATAAAGTTAGGGGGCGGAGGCAGAGAAAGCCAGGGGCACACCGAAGTGGTGTCTATCCAGTCGATCGGGAGGGCTGTGTCGTCGCATGGCGTGGGACTGGGAGGCGCGCATGAGGTTCGGGGTTTGTGAAGCTACTTAGAATCGGGGGACACTTGGAGAAATGAGGGACCGTAATACTGGAGAATACAGCACAGCATTGAGAAGTGGAAGGAGCTCTTCAGCTCCAAAACGCGGTCAGCCACGTAGGGCAGAAGGAGCGGGGTTGAGTGGATGCGAATGAGGCCTAGTTCCAATGCCGTTATGTACAGGATAAGGCTTGTTCGTTTGTTAGCGCGAAACCTGCTCCGCTTTTTCCAACCAACCACAGCACAGACACCAGGGGGCCTTTGGCCAACCAAAACGCGCGCATCCGGCTCACTGACCCATTTTTTGGGCTTACATAACCTTCGACCGACTTTTCTACCCTGGCTTCGCCCCTGGCTTAAACTTTTCCTCTTTCTTCAACCTCTCCAGCCGACTATTCCTTACATATTTACAACATTGCAAAGCACTCGGATTAGCCCACATCGACAGGGCTTCAAAACAGCTATCACCAGGGCTTTGAATGAATGAATTCTCGCAATTGATTTTGGTTAGCTTTGGCATGCTTGTTCAGATCCATCCTAAGTACCACGCTAACGAACGAACAAGGGTTGGACTGTAGCACTCGGCAAATGCCGTTTGTGGCTTAGCGCCTTGGCAGAGTACGTCTTGAAGTCCCTTCTGGCCTGGGGCTATCGAGGTCTACGGTGGAAAAGCCCCACTCATCCCGATCTAGAGACATTGCCCCACTGTACCCACTTTTCCTCTGTTATGCTCTCACCTGCACACTCAACACGACATACACAAGATACTGGGCTAGGATTAGTGGTTAGGGTTAGTGGTTATTGCTTAGGGTTAGCGGTTAGGACTTAGGGTTAGGGCTAGGATTCAGGTTAGTGTAAACATATAGATAAAAACGTTGGGCGATGATGCATTTGTGCTGCGTTCTGCTGGATTGATTTGAATGTACTCGAAAGTGTAGTGGTTTTGAACTTAAGAAATTTGCAGCATATGCACTAACAATTGTGGGCTTGGAGGGCTTGGGGAGGTGGATTTTTTTCAGTGGGGCTGCAATGTCTTGGGTTCTCCACCGTGGACCTGGATAGACATAACCCAATTCTGACGTGTCACGGTAGGGTACTCTCACTGGGAAGTTGAACACCTCGTTCAGATGCCAACAGCACCTTCTCTGCACCTTTGGCTGCATAAGTTCTCTCAAGCCTCGAGACATCATGCAACAGTTTTTCATCAGTGCACACTGATCGTAATTATAACGGGGAAATGTTACATAGCGCTTGGCAACTGCCCTGAGAGCGTTGGCCAATACGCGTAGCCGACGTCGACATGGCTGGCCGCCTGTCACTGTCCGTCAGCGCGAGTCAGGGCACAGCCCCTTCCCGGTCTGCTTCCCCTCCAGTATCTAGGTATGTAAGATATGTATCACCTTCTAGTCACCTTCTTACAGCTCCGGAATCTGCTGCATGCCGGCAAGATTTTACGCCGGTCTCTTTCAAGAAGTTTCAGCGGTCCAACATTCCCTGATTCTCAATGGATCGCTCGGCTAATATTCTGTCCGTCCATGGCTCTCTAGAGACTCCAGGTTTCGTCTCTCGCAATTGACCCTCGTCGGCAAAGGGTAGGCACTTCCGCGCCGCCCAAGGGTTTGGGCGACGTCAAAGGCAAGAAACGGCAGCTCGGTTGGCGTTCCACAGTGCACCTGTGTACTAGGCTTTACCGGTTGCCCACAGCCGCGGTGCCGGTCGCTACCACATCATTGGGAAGACAAGCCTACCAGCGACCCAACAGGCTGGGAAGAGGGGAGTGGACTCTTTTTCGGCAGAAAGATTCCGCTGTATCGTACAAAGAAGCCTAACAGTGCTGGAACCTTCCTCGGTAGATCGCACTGCCCACAAAGAGGCCGTTGCTTTCATATTCGGGGATAAATGTTGAGTCCTTGTCTGGAGAATTACTTTTAAATACTTCCCGAGGCCTGCCCGCGTGCACATCTGCTCATCGTTGGCCACAGACAAGAAACGCAACCCTTTATTGGTATGAATAGAAAGGGGGTGGCCAGTCAACGAATCATGGCTGAAGGGTGGATTCAAAAAGGCGAGTTCCAGTCAGCCTCTGGAACTGAAAACTACCGGTTGTTTTTTCCTCGAAACCGCAACGGAATGCTATTCGCAAAATCGCGGTGAACGTACAGTCTGTTGCCAACTCTACGTTGAGAATCTCCTTCTCAAAAACGCAAACACCTCCTCTGTTTCGGTCCATCTTGCCCAGACCGAACCTTCGGCGACTGCAATACAACCTGACAGGGAATGGAGTCGTTTGCGATTCTCGGAGCTGCTGCCGCGATCGCGCAGTTTATTGACTTCGGTGCAAGTCTCTGCTCCGCGACCACCGACACTTCCAGTCTGCCAGAGGAGCCCCGGCAGATAATCTGGCTCTAGAGGACGTCTATTCGAAGCCGCAAGAGCTTTCGAATGGAATGAAGAACGCCGCTAGCTCTGGGCAAATCCATATTCACCATGAGAGCTCTCCAGCCTCCCCCTCAAGTCAAGCAGCGGCACGTCTGAGAGATCTAGCAACGCAGTGTGCGGCAGATTGCGATGCACTACTCGAGATTTTAGCGCCGTTAAGGATTCAAGGAGATCGCCACCGACTATGGAAGAGCATCAAAACTGGGCTAGGGACAATTCGAAACCGCCGCAAGCTTAAGGACTTGGATGATAAACTTAAACGGTCCCAACGCTTGATAACCCTATACGTCGTGGACATCGTCAGGTACGCATTCTATATCTACCCCTGAGCACGCTTTGGACTGCTTGCTAATGGTAGATACTCTGTTCATCAGAGGCAACCTCTCGACCGTCGACGAATCCCTCCGACGCTTGAGGCAAGACAACCAGATTTTCCAGTCGGGTCAGTCGAGCAAGCTCGACGAGATCAACCACGGACTTCGATCACTGAGGCTGGACATTCAATCACCAAGCGGCAACGAAGTACCGATAATACTTCAACGCACGTCAGAGATGTGTCGACGTGATTCAGCGGATTGCCTCTCGACTAGAGCGTCTGGTTTCGGACCATAAGAACCTTTCTACGCAGGCCACCATTCTATCCAGCCTAAACTTCGAGTCCAGACTTGCCCGGCATGAAGCAATATCCGAGGCCCATGCTCGGACCTTCGAGTGGATCTTCGATTCCGCCTTGTCTGAGTGGCTACGAAGTGGCACAGGTCTGTTTTGGATATCTGGTAAAGCAGGATCGGGCAAGTCAACACTCATGAAGTTTCTGGCCGACAAGCGGGAAACCCAGGCTCTTCTGGAAGAGTGGGCTAGTCCACAGAAAGTAGCCGTTGTGCCGCACTACTTCTGGAGCCAGGGTACGCGTATGCAACGCTCGACGAGAGGACTCTTGCAGTCATTGCTGTATGACATCTTCAGTAAGGACCAGGGTTGTATCCGCACAATCTGCCCATCACGCTGGGACGCAGTCCGCGACAAAGGCGCCGATGCATCCGGAATATCTTGGACCGAGTCTGACCTCAAGCTTGCTCTTGAGGCGCTTGCGGAGAGCCAAGTCGTCTCCTTCAAAGTGTGCTTCCTCATCGATGGGCTAGATGAATATGGCGATGAGGGGGGTGAGAACGAGAACCTTTGCAACCTCTTCATGAGACTCATCAAGTCGCCAAATCTCAAGTTTTGCGTCTCAAGTCGCCCATTGAATGTCTTCACTGTTACATTTCGGGAGTGCCCTAGCCTTGCGGTTCACGACTTCACTAGGGAGGACATCGCCCACTTTGCCAAGTCTCAGATTGAAAGTCACTCCCGATGGCAGGAATGTGCTTTAGATGAAACACAAAGGCAATGGCTCATTTCCGAGATCACAAACAGGTCGCAGGGTGTTTTCCTGTAGGTCTATCTGGTCGTACGAGATCTCGGAAGAGGTCTAACAAACGACGACACATTCAGAGATCTACAGCGGAGACTTGACCTGCTACCAAGCAGCTTGGAGGCCATGTTCAAACGCATACTCGACTCTGTGGATAAGGTATATCACCAGAAGATGGCAGGGATGTTTCTCATCGCCCTTGCAGCAGATGAACCCCTCGAGCTTGAGGTTTATCTCCACCACGAAGATGAGTACGAAGATGAGAACTACGCGATCCATCGCCCGATTGGACCAAATCCATTCTTTATCGCTGAGAAGTCTCTGTCATTAATGCGTCGGCGGATCAACGCGCGATCTCAGGGCTTGTTAGAGGTTGTACACGGGGGAGTCATGTTCCTCCATCGAACAGTCGGGGACTTCATGCGGACGAAAGAGATTCAGGAGTTTCTGGTTGCCAAGGCACCGAGAGGATTCAATCCAGAAGTCTCTATACTCAAGGCCTTTGCATCTATGTTCAAAAGCAACTTCCATAGGCCTGACGTGAACGAATACGAATACGGGTTCAAGTTCCGGATTCGGAACGACACAAATGCGCGTCTGTCCCAGGCATCCTCATGCACTATCGAACATCAGACCACAGTGACGACCTTGCTCGATGAGTTAGAACGCTCTCTGGGGGTCGTATTTGTAACCAACGGGACTCCCTGGCGTCATTCGGTTCAAGATGGTTTACGCCGGTTTCGCAATCGGTCTTAGCTTCAAGCCGACTTGACTGGTACATTGAGCAACAGCTTGCAACAGAAGGCCCAGTCTATTTTGACATCTTGGGAGAGTCACCGCTTTGGACCGTCCTAGATGTTTTAGATAAGAGACTACCTCCTCACATCCCCACTCTAGCACTTTTGCTTCGCTACGGATGGGATCCCAACAGTAAACCAGCCTGGTGCAGATCAACAATGTCACCATGGTTATGTTTGATTGACCGAATGTACCCGGACAGAAATCTACTAACTGAAGAAGACTGGGAACGTTATTGCTCGATTGTAAGGCTCTTCTTCTCTCACGGCGCAGATCCTAACGCATTCATACCGTCCGGGGGCTATGAAGCCTCGAAGGAGAGATATTCCAGATATTTTGGCCAACTGAAAAGCCCATCAACGGCTTTCGGCCTGTACCTATCTGCATGGCTGTTCACGCGTCCAAACGCCCATTCGCTACATACATTGAATGACTTTCTGGACGCTGGCGCAAATATAAACGATCACTGCCAAGGTGGCCGGCATTGCTCTGTCTTTTCATTTTTCTGCGAAGAGTCACGGTGCAGATCATTCATAAGCTCGATTGATGAAAGAAAAAAAGTGGCGCCAGAATTTGGAGCCATTCTTTAGAATGATCCTAAGTCGAAGGGTTCTAAACAAGGAGACCTTGGAAAGCTTGAGGGTATTTGTAAGAACATGGATTCGGGAAAAAATTCCAACCGAAACTGTCGATTCACTGGTGCTGGAAATAGAGCGCCAACTTGCAGAGCTGGAAACAGCCTCAAGTCGTAAGAGGAAGCAATCCATGACAGCGAATGATGAGTCCCAGAGTGCAAAAAGGGCGAAAGTCGGAGAACATGGAGAACACGGAGCGAGTGGGTTAGAGGTGGTTGGGGACGATAAGGACATCTTGATGGGATCGAGCGACGGGGTTGAAAACTGCAGTGATTCAGACGAGCCCATGGAGGTATGAGATCCTAGAGCGGACGTTAAAGGACATTACTGGGCAAGGAGTCTGCTAGTTTGGACGTCTTTACGCTTGCCTACCTAGGTACATGTACCCTAGGCCGGCATGTATCGAGTCACGTTGCACCCACGCTTGCAGGATATTGACGCGTATTCTCTTGCGTACGTAGTTGGAGGTCTTTGGCACCTTGTATAGTTTCGTCACACTCGATCTAAGATGCGGAGTCTCCATGATATCCCAGGTATTCAGTCTAGAGTCTTCAATGTATTCAACCGTCTGACACGTCCGTAAAAACTCCACCCCCTTTTCCTACTTGCAGATCAACCATGTTATCTCTTGCCCAACATAGCAAATCAGCTTCCATATCCATAACACCCTCCATGACGTGGACTTCCCTGAGTCATTGAAGGGATTCAGGCCCCTCAGCCGTCCCACGTCAACACATGCTGCTTAGTCCTTGTTACGGGTAATGACTCAGTTTGGACCCGGATGCCGGCAACGTAATCTCGTAAATGTCCTGGGCAATCTTTATATTGAGTCAGAAGAGTTCAAGTTGTGGTTAGCGAGGCCGTGAAAGTAAAGTCTGGTATTCGGGGGGAACAGGAGTTGGCAACGAAGACTCGTAGATCTTTCTCACCTCGACACGGAAATTGCCTACTCCATACCGTCGCACGAGATAGTTTTGCAGTCGATCAGGCCTAATTAGCCGACAAGGTATTTCGAAGTTTGCTTGTTGTTGGACTGTTGGGTGGGTGCTGTTGCCTGTCCACAATCGGGACGCACGTTGGCCTTGGTCTGTTTTGGAGATCGCATCCATGACACGGCACAGAAACGAATTACGCTGGGGACTCGGGACGTTGTGAATTTTAGAATGAAGTCGACTCTTGAGATGGGTAAGGTGAGAGAGTAAGGGAAGGGGTCAAAGAGGGAGGCAAGGGGGGAGACCTAAGTACTAGTACTACTAACCCAGGCCTCCATGAGCCTGACCAATGCCTGCGGCGAAGCAGGTCTGACAGTGCCCTGGCTGCACGGTCTGACCGTTACACGGAAAGATATATGAGTTCGTACAGGTCATGAGCCACGGCCGCATGGTTTCGAACCCAAAGGCACACAGGCAGCGGCACGGTCTAAACGAAAAAGGCGAAGCCTAACTACCATGACTTAATATCGTAAGACTTGGTTTTAAAGTGATAAAGTACTAGGGTTGTTTATTAATACTCAGTTTACCTAAGAGTTCAATATACTAGTAGTTGCGTTTGCTAATGTAAGGGCCATAGTTCTGTGCAACCCGGGCCCGGGAGAATGCTGGCGGACGAAAACATTTTCCTCTGCATGTGAATAACCGACGGGAGCATGAAGGCGCATTAGAAACAGCAAGATGAGCAGCAAACCGCGTATAACCCGGGCCCCCAACCCCTGCCATCATTTCCACTCATTGAGTTCGCGCAGGGCAATGGCAGGCTCGCGGCCACGTATTGGGCATCGACTGGCTTAGAGTTGGGCCACGAGCGAAGTTTATCGGGGAATCCCGTCGAACAGTGAGGTGTCCCTCTCTCTCATAATGACATCTAGAGCTTCTGGCAGCATTGTATCATAATATGCGTGTATGGAATGCAGTTGGTTCACTCTCTCTTCGCATACCGTCATACTGGCTCCTTTTCAACCCAGCCCGTGTCAGAAGCTTGAGCACGACGCCGCCTGATAAAGAAATACCAGCATGCGATAACAATTGCTGTGATGGTGACGGTGAGCACGGGGTAGATCCAGAGATAGGGTGAGACAATTTGCTCCCCATCGGCGGCACTCCAGTTGAAAAATGTCATGGAAAAGAGAGACTGTTATAAGGCCCGGTAATTAGCAACCGTTTGTCAGGCATGGTTATTTCATGGTAGTAACCGAGTAAGATAAGGAGATGGTAGGGATACCTACCGCTATGAAAGTCGCAGGAAGAAAGAACATGGTCAGAAACGCTATCGACCGCATCTGATTCGAGTCCTGGCGTGTGTCGCTTGCAATTTTGAGGTTTGCCTGGGTGTCCTGGTAGCCGATCTGATTCCACGACTGCACCGAGGTTAGCACTTAGCAGCCTCACTCCTCATTCTCAGGGGCTAAGGTCAGGTACCCACCAACTGCGCGCTCAGCGCCATGCCGTCAAGGACCATCGAGCACTCCTTGATCTTCAGCTCATACTCGGCCATGATTTCACCCAACCTCTTTTGAATCCTCCTGCCCGTTTTCCGCGCACTTTTCTTCCACTTCAAGTTGTACCCCTTAACCCCCTTCTCATCATCCCCATATCCTTTTTCCATCTTCTCCAGTTCCAGTCCCCCCTTTTCTCCCCCGCCCCCTTCCTCCTCTTCCAACAACCCTTCCAACTCCTTCACACAACCCACCACCTTCCTCAACTCAACCAACCACGCACCAAGTGCGATACGGAGCTGACTGACGTCGATCCAGAGATCGACCGAGTAATTCTCACGCACCATCTCAGAACTCACAGAGACTGCTTCACCCCTGCTGAGCACGCGGACACGGGTGAGCAGCGCAAATACACGCTCCTGCACCAGCTTCATGTGCCGCTCGCGTTCCAGTTCAGCCAGGATCCCAACGATAAGTAGGGGGTGTGTCCAGGCCCCGTCCTCGGCGTTGTAGATCCGGCTGGCGATCTCCTCGGCCACGTCGTCGGTGCAGCCGAAGAATACCGCTGATGTGCACCCCGTGGAGGGGGAGAAGACGGCTGATAGGGCGAGGTCGTTGGGGTAAGAGGCTGAGGTGCGGGTTATGAAGACTTTGTGTGGCTGTTAGTGTACCTAACTTTAAAATTGAGATAACATGGGAGGTTGTAAAGTTCAGGTAGTAGCCTGGGAGAGTAAGGGGGACCAACAGATGGCGTTTTCCCGGCGGTCGAGCAGGTTGATGTCGGTGAAGAAGGGCATGTCGGAGCGGTTGATGATGCGAGCCGTGTCGCCGTGCAGCGGGAGGTTGGCCGCGATCCTCTCAAACGACGTCCGGCTGAAGGGCAGGTACTCGAGGATGGCCGGGTTGTGGCGGTTGTTGGGCTGCTCGGCGCGGTTCGCGAGACTGCGTGGTAACGAATCAGTTTGCTGCTGGTCTTGTCGAAGTATCCCGGTCAGGGGTTCAGGTGATATCTCATATGGAGCACTGATCGGGATCTTACATACATGACGGCCAATCCGGGATTGCATTGGCGAATGTTGACCTGTGCGTAGGCTGTTGTTTAGTTCCCGTTCATGGTTGTATTTGACAATCTACACCAGGAAAACGACTGCAAGCTGTTTACCCACCTCCTCAAGCCATCTTGCTGCTTCGAGATCTGTTTCTAGCCAGCACTCTGACATCTCCTGGGAGTCAGTCAGTATTGCGGACAGAGTGGAGATAGGAACCGTGTTACGTCCCTGGTCATCGGCAAAGCGGTATACGGCCTTGCTCCGCCGTGTTTGGTAGAGGAAGACATTGTCAAGATCCTCGTCGCAAAAGTCTGCTTCTCTCAGGGGCCAATCCATGTTTACTTTCAGTCAGTATGTAACATAACATATTGTTTATTCTTCACAGACTAAGATTTTCGGCGACCTACAATGAGCATATACCGATCAAAACTCATGGATGTCCCGGAGATGTGGGGGTGGCGTTGGCCCGAGGTCTCAGCTGAGTGGCAGGTGAGAGCCCAAGACTATGCCTAAGTCAACGAGTAACGTTACTACTAATTATCATGCAACCAGTGAAAATGAGGGCTGCCTCACCCCCTGGCCTTCTTACTTGAGCGTGCTGTTGGCCAAGGTGATGTGGAGGGTTTGTAACACGACACATATCAACCGCATCAGCATTCCCTCTTAGCTCCTTGGAACAGCTCATACTTGCCCGCTTGCTGTGTGTCTACCCCGGCGGGCCGAGTTGCATGTGGGCTGACAAATGCATAGCACCGGCAGAATGGGCGCTGGGCACAGCCTGGTGCCAGCAAGCTGTCGGTGAGGCTCTTGCCAGGTCCATTAGCGGACCGACGGCATTTATTTAAGCCCCGTCTCTGCTCTGTTTGGCATGGGTGGTTTGCCTCCCAGGCTCCCAAGTCTTCTGTGTAACCATACATTTTCGACCCCGCCTTTTTGAGTCCATCCTGGTAGGAGAAACTACATTCTCGGCCCAAGCCACTCCAACTACCTAGATCTTCGGTGTGTGACCATCCACCAACCGCCCGAAACCCATATCGGAGCACACAGCCGCAATGGCGGTGCAGCAAGTTGTCCCCCTCCGTTACAACGATCCACGGGCTCTCGACAAGGAGCTCAAGATGCTTTTTGGCGATGGGAACTATGCGGTCGATGTGCGAGCCTGACTTTCTGTGCCTGTCGATGTTGAGGAGCGCAGTTTCGTTGACTTCAGCCGGTATTCCCATAGTTTGAAATGGGCCAGTTCATTCTCACTGCGCCTCGCCAGCTAACTGAGGTTAGACGTTCCGCATACCCATTACCCCTTTTCCCTATTTCCCTTTTGTATTTTGGGTTATTATTTTAGCATTATTTTTGCCGTTTTTCTTTTCGGCTCTCTTGTTCTTGCTTCCCTTTGCCCCTTTTTCCTTTTACCAGTACATTTTTCCCCATCCCTACCACCGACTAACTCCAGTCGCAACCTCTGTAGAACGAGATTGCGCATATAAAAAGCAAGCAGCGACACTACAAGCGGCGATCAAACCGCGGGAAGTAAGTGAGTGTTCTGGGCGTTCAGCCGTCCATTCCTCGGTATCATCTATTGACATTGCTATCATAAGGTAGAAGTAGCACTGGAGTGATTGGAGCATGATGCTGGTGTTAGTGGTGTATGACAACATTGGCATTGAACGTTATCTACCTCTAGCAACTCCCCAACACGACTCTAGCTAAGTCATGGTTTCTAAGTGAGGTACTCAAGGTACTGGATGTAGTAACTATGGAATCATGGCGGTAGGCGCCTGTCCAACTTTGCACCTCTGCAGGCTGGGGTCAATGTTTGCGGTCCAGTCCGCGTAGGCTCCCTCGGGTAAGGTACCAAGGTCAACTGGACCGAAACCAGCCCTTGCCCGAGCCGTCGGCTACATCATCAACACGTACTAATTGCCATGGGGTGGATGCGTTTGTGTTCTCCGGGGAGAGTGTGGAGGAAGCCTGCGAGTCCTCCCGGTATGTTCTCGAAGCTGGTTGAATCTTGCCGCCGTGTTTTGTTTGGCGATTTGGTTGAGGGGCATCTCAACTGCTTCCGGAATCGGGATTTCGGCGAGCGCGGTCTTGCGCGGAGACGGCACCAGCTTATATTCCGGAGGGGCAACCATCTTGCACAATTTGTCAAGCTCCGTATGCACCTGGCTGCTGTCGTCTCTCTGTTGCACGCCTCTGGAAACGACGACTAGCATATGCGTCATGATGTAGTCGAGGAGCTTGTGAATCGGCTCAGAGCATTTGGGGTGTGCGTGGAGTTCATTGATGACAAACTGGTGAACTTCCAGCTTTACGCGAAAGAAGACTGGGCCCTCCGTTTCCCCTTCGGGTCTGACTGCCTCGAAGAACTGATCAACATTCCAGCCGTTCAACACGGGGTCGATTGTCTTGCGGACTCGGACAAACTTCAACACCAAAGCCCAGCCGCCGAGGTACCATGCAATGAACTCTAGCAGGACACAGCCGAAGGACCATATGTCGAATGATTGAGTGATGCGACATTCTTCCATGTCACACTCGGGTGGACGGTACGAAAAGGTATTCAAGACATCCTTGCTGGAGAAGTAGCTCTTGGTTCCTTCGGTGTGGAAACGTGTGAGGCCAAAGTCGGTGATAACGAGCGTGCCTCGGTCTTCTGGCTGGTTTTGCTTGCAAAAGACGAGGATATTCTCGGGTTTGATGTCACCGTGTCGACCGTATATGATGTTGTTGTGAGGAGCCGCGAGATGCCCATCGGCCATTGTTTCACTCCTTGTATAGCGATGGATTCTGTGCAGGCCGCTGGCGATGCCCCGGCATTGCTCCAGCATCCACTGAAGAGTGGGCTTGCTCAATGGATCTGGGTCCCAATTCCACTTGGCGCTATCCCTCCACAAGGTCTTCAAGTCGCACCGAGCCCAGCGAAATATAACGCAGTAGTCGTCGCCGTGGCGGAAGGCAGCTAAAAGGGAGATCAGGTGAGGATGGTCTTCTCCGCTGAATCGTCTCAGGGTCTCGATTTCGCGTTTAAAGCCCTCTTTCAGCTCCTCCGCGTCCACAGTCCCTGAAGTCTGGAGATAGGTAAGACTCGCCATGTCACTTGGTAACCCTTCAGGGGTGAGCGACGTAGAGGCTCTATCGGGTTTGAAGATCTTGACGGCGAAGGTACCATCGCTCAGCTGCACATCATATTAGTCAAATTAGCGACACAATGCCCAAAGCTCCGCGTTATTGCCAGGTCATTCGGCTACTTACTTCGCTGGGGGGAAAGTTGTGATGACTCTCGTGGATCTTTATGCGGTAGACATTGCTGTAGCCGCTCGGACTCGTTGAGATGTCGATTCGCTCGTCGACCCAGGGAAGGATGTCCTTATCCGATAACTGGTAGAACCACGCACGGCGAATCTTACCCTGGGCGAAGAAGGGACTGAGCATTGACCACTGGTGTCTCTCAAAGTCTTCGTGAACGAGCCAGTCCCAGTGGGAGATACAAGAGAGGTCATGCTGCGGAGACTTTGCGAGTCTCATTTTAGGAGGAAGATCTTCTCCTTCTGCATACACGGCCTTGAGGGGGAGTGCCGCGTCGGATATCCCTTCATCAACAAAAAGAACAACCTCCCAGCCGCGCCCGAGCAGGACCAGAATGGCGAATATTTTGCGGTAGCTGCCGGGTTTGCTGTCCGACTCGCTAGTATCGCTGGGGAGCTGGACTGTACACACTTTCTTTGCGTACTCCCTGATTTGGTCGTCTGTAAGGGGGCGGCCCAAGTTGCTCAATGCGCCCTTCCCCTGAGTGATGACCAGGACAACTTCATCTTCATTGATAAGGGCCTCAACAGAGCCCCATGGAAAAAAGTATGTGCCCTTGGGTCTTTTCGATTGACAACGCAGAGTCAATAGCCGCCTCGCAAGTGGCGCATCTGGCTCGGACTTTGGCCGTTTGATGTTGGGCATATCAGTTCCTTGGGGGAACGCTAACGAGTGTAACGACTCCCCGCGGTCCCAGACCGTCATCTGGGATCTTTCGGTTTTGGTGTCGCTCCCCCGTCGACCCCGGGCAACTTGGGCGGTTTCGGCGGCTCCTTCGTCATTGTAAGTGATCTCGGGAATCGCCTGGCCCCTGATAGCATCGAAGCCAGGGCCAGTTCTGTCCCTTCCATCCTCGTTGACTTGGGCGCTTAACGCATCCAAGGAATGGGATAAGTCGTCCCTAGGCTGCGACATGTCGTATGCGTAGCTTGTGAAACTGGTGCATGCAGATTCGAGTCTGGTCCTAGATGAGTCACCGTTGCTCTCGGCTTGTCTAGTAGGTATGCGTAACAAGGCAGCCTCAGGCTTACACTAGTAGTACGAACTGAAGGTAAGGTAGGTATGCTGCTCAAATATAAGTTTCACGAGCAGTAGCCATACTAGAGCCTCTTTCCGAGCATTACATGGGGTGAAATGCTAACTCTTATCATGTTTACAGCTGCCGAGTCGCATGTTGAGCCTCTTCCCAAAGCTCTCCAGCCTTCCCGCGCACCACTTCTCGGTGTGGGCTCCCAAACTTGCATGTTGGGGTTGCACAGGAATTTCCTACCTACACCTACCTACCTACCTAGAGTACCTACCTACCTACCTACTTATCGATGAATGTGCTGAAATTTGAGGTAACAGCTCAGATACCTCATCAGGCACTAATCGGTCAAACTTCAAGCCCTTACGAGCGGGCCTAATCGTCGGACTGTCAGCCTGTCGCCCAGTCTGAACAGGCACTGAACAGGACTACAGCTTACCTACACACCTTAGGTAGGCGAACTCAGATGACAGCCTTGAGGAGTTGGTGGGATACATGTACGCATGCACCTGCAGCCACACTGCATGGCCCGTCACAGCCAAAAAGGGCGGTGAACTGGTGAACTGGCTGAGACTGTGAGCTGGAATGTCCCCGATCATGATTGCTGATTGGTCTCGGCCTAGATTAGCCGTAATGTTAGGCATACTATCAGACGGCCACCCGCCGACTCCGGACCCCCAATCGAGGAGGCTCCTGCGGCTGCGCCCATACATGTATACATGGCCACAGACACAGCCCCGAAGCCACACTGGTGGCAGCTGCATCAAGGATTGATACGTAAATTGTTTTAAGACAGCCTTGTACAACCGGTGATTGTTACTGTTATTGCCCGGGCAGCAACCACGGCCATACCGCCGATCTCCGAGGCAGATTCGTGGGCTTATGGAGGTCTAGGGAGCCTTGGGGTTGAGAACTACTAGTACATTAGGACCACGGCTACCCTCACTAATTGATTGCGAGTTTAGGGGCAAGCTGGCTTTGAAAGATCCCCCTAGACTTTATTGTGGTCCGGACCTCGCAACAGTCGATTTCTAGCTTGGCGTCAAGTCTGGCAGCACCCTTCGCAAGACACCATGCCTGGCCAATATCTCGAAGTCCCTCCGAAGCAGGACGGGATTGGTCGTCAGCGATCGCTCGTGGTTGCAAAGCCACACCTGCAAGAAATCCCAAGTCGATGCATTGGGGCAAACCAGCTAAATTCGCTCCTGATGGAGGTATTCCCTGAGGGCGGATACGACGTTGACATCGACCAAAACGTTTACAAAATCAGGGCTCCACGAGAAATATCCCCGGTAAGCCAGCAGTGTAGTCAGGGGCTATACCAGGCACTAACACCCCAAGTTTAGATCCAAGTGGAAATGTTCAGATCCGGTCGCCGACTATCAGCCAATGGGCCATACGTTTGAGCGCAAGTAGCTCACCTCTTACGACTCGGGACTGTGTCTGGGGAATCCAGGGTAGTGGAGGATCACCAAGTACTACTTAATGACCTGATGCTCTGGGCATCATTGTCTGTGACAATGCTGGGAACCTGGAGGATGGTGCTCGACTCGGAAGCTTTGAATCTCTCGTCAGAGTCATATTTATGACTGCATGTGGACACTGGTCCAGGGGTGGTGTGGTACTTATAATTTGAACTGTCTGTATCTCCTTGCTGATGTCCTCATCCTAATGAATGTCCAAATCCAGTCTCTGAACGCTTCGAGTCCTCCCCTTTACCCGTATGATGGATTTTATTCTTAGATAGCTACGATCGGTTAGAAAGTCAATCTGTATCCGTACAATTCCCAACCCTTACTACTATTCACAATCTGACAGCCAACTTTGTACCACTCATACCACCCCTGCCCAGTCTCTCCAGCCCCTCCGCAACAGTCTCGAGGCCCTCCCCAATGACTTCGACCTCAACAGGTAGCCGAAACTCCCCTCTCTCGACCAGCCCCTGCAGCCGTGCCATCACCTCCCTGCCCCCAGCCTGGAACGCCATGCCCCCATAGACTCGCACCGCTTTCACACCGGCGGGAACAGCGCCCATGTCTCGCTCGGTAGTCGCAACTGCCGCATACACACGGGGGCCGTTCTCTCTCAGCAGGCTAAACAACTCCATCCTTTCGTCACGTCCAGCACCGAGACCACCATTCCCATTCTTCATTCCATCCTCATTCCCAGCCCCATTCCCATCCCGAGCACCGCCATCACCACCACCACCATCACCAACCCCATCCATGTTTGCACGGTCCAAAACACCCACGACATCAACAATGGCATCGACCCCTCCCCCATCCAAGCCAAGGTCAACGCACGCTCCCCGGACGGCGGCAACAAGCTCACGCATGGTTTTCCCGTGGTGGTCGACGCAAGCTGCAACCCCTGCGGCACCGAGCCGCGCATTGTGCCGCGGCGCGTTGGTTGTGATTACCACGGCGTCGGGCAGCGCGATGCGCAGCAGCTGGAGGGTTGCGGAGCCCACGCCTGAGGAGCCGCCTAGGAGGAGGACTGAGGTGATTCCAGTTTTGTGCGGGTTAGTATCAGTACCAGGAGGGGTTTGTTTGGTGCCATTGCTGCCGTTTGCTTGTGTGGTTGGGTTTATGTTGGGTTGAGGGGGCGAGGTGCGGTCGATCGGGGTGTTGCTATTGTTGTTGTTGTCTTCATCCGGGTAGGTGGATGTGAAGGGGCGAGTCCAGGGGGTGGATGCGGGCATCTTTTTGGCCCCTTGGAGATGCGGAAGGGAGAGGCCAAGGCCTTGGGTCAGCACCGCTACGGCGGTTAGGTAGATGAGGCTGTAAAAGGGTGTGGGAGTTAGTCAACATGAAAGGATACGCATGCTGGGAGTTTAGACTTTAGACAGGGACGAACGGTACGGAAGCAGCCTCTTCAAACGTCCAATCCTCGGGTTTCTTGCATGCAAAATGCGCTGGCACCGTGGCCACTTCTTGAAAGGCGGCTCCACGCCCGGCGAGGCCCGCAAAGCTCATGACAGCGTCTCCGGGCTTGAGCTCGGTAACGTCCTGGCCTACAGCCTCCACGATACCGGCCATATCAATGCCCAGGACTTTGGGCCATCTTTCTGCCAGAATACTATGATGGACTCTCTTCCAGTCAACGGGATTCAACGCCACAGCCCGGTTGCGGATGCATATTTCTCTTGCTCCAGGCTCAGGGTGAGGCGCTGTGAGGACCATCAAAGGGCCCCCTTTTTTGATGGCGACGCATTGCTTGATCCGTTTTCCAGATTCTGACACATAAAACATTGCTGAGTGCCAAAGTTCGGACATAGTGATGGCTGATGGGCGAGGGTTTCAAATTCCAAGCAGATTCCTTGATTGTTGAACCCAGGGATATCCGATACACCAGCAAGAACTTGCACCCAAGAGCTTTTATTTGTTCAGTCATTGGCGGGGCAGTTGCTCCGGGCATGACAGCACCTAGAATCATGGACAGAGCATGTGGCAGGACTCGGTGTTTTGCTAACGGCTCCTAGGCTCCTAGCGTCTTGGATGAGCCTGGCTAGGAAGGCTAAAGTAGGATCGATGGTGACTGGACATCGCTGGAATCTCGAATATCGATGGTAATCGAACTCGACATCTTGAGGATTGAGACCATCGGTTCTCCGCAGCTAGTCGGTAGAAGGATAAGACTTGTGATCATACCCGATTAACGCTGCATATCAGCGCGGCACATTGACTCACCATGGGCGCAGAGACACATGATGTGCATTTCACAAGTCTGCGTCTGTCGCACGAATTCCACGGTCCCGTTGACCACTGGAGTCCCCTTTCGGAAACTACCAGCCGAGCAGTTAGGCTCACCAGCTACTGTACGGCAGGATGCGACTGCGTGGCACACCTTCCTTTGAGTACGAATGTTAGTCCGGGGACTTCGGCAGGGGGGTGATCTGTTAGTGCAGCGCAAAATTTGTATGCAAAAATCATCCTCTCGACTACCCCTTTTAACAGACCATCCGGTCCGCGGATGTACCTTATTTTCCAACATCCCAACGACTCACAGAGATCCATACCTGGCAATGCCCAAGACCCAGTGATCACGACCTGCAACGCGCACCGCCAGTGACCGCAGCATATGGCGACCGTATCTCGAAGACATGTAGTCCATTCCAACTTTCCGAGCAATCCTCCCTAGCCGCCGAGCTTGCTCCATTTCGAATTGTCTCGTCGCTTGTGAAGCTATCTGAGGATGCGAACATCGCCTTTGCAGTTTACACTGTTGAAGCCACTGCTAGCGAGGTCGACAAAGGAGAACATTGGTGGTCGTTTGTTGCTAGCCTTGTTCAAAATTCATAGGCGAATCTGCAAGCAATTGCACTTGAGCCGGAGCTGAGGTGCCGAGGGTGCGTTGTCACTGCGCGGTCGGCCCTGTAGTGGTTAAGAGAAGCTAATTTACCAGATCAAGGAGTTCCATTCTACCGAGGTTGCGGGAGAGAATTCTAGCATTATCTGACATCATCGTTCCAGAAGCATGACTGGAGTACGCAAGACGTGGGCTGCTTGCTCCCATGCCTGTAGCGCCTTGTATGTACTATATGTGGAGTGTTCTCTGCTGAACAACGCTGTCCCAACTCCTAATGGTCCTCGAGGGTACTAATCCTAGTAGTATAACCTCTTAGAAGTAAATTCCAATACTAGCTATTGTAGATACTCTATATATAAAATACTATTACTAGGATTATTAAAAGGGAGTAATTTAAAGTATAATAGTTAATAATAGTATAGTATTAATAGTAGTTTCGTGTCACGAACAGACCTTACTGGCGGCCAGGCATGGTCACAGCCGCAGCGCAGGGAGCCGCGGCAGCCAATCACTCAACTAACCAATCAGAATGGATCACTAGGGAAGGAGAGTGAGCCAACATAAGGATCACTGGGATCACGAAGT